GAGATCACCCTCAGTTTTTGGTGGGGTTCGTGTTGCTCAGTCTTTAGTTTTCTATGTAGTGTTTTGTGAACTAGTGTTTGTTTGTTGGTCTTTTTCTATTTTAGCCATGGCGTTGTCAGTTTATTTTCCACTTAGGAGTTTGAATGTCCCACTGGTATCTTTCGCCTCTCTTTTTAAAGACTCTTTTTGCTGAATGCAATGAAATAAAAACTTGGATGCTTTTACAATGCAAAATAAATAATTGAAGTAAGTAGTAAGTCTCAAAGAAAAACATATCTTGATATTTTTCTATACACAAAAAGATATATATACAATTCTAATATGACGCCTTTCAAACACTTTGGATCATACCCGTGGTAAAATACGAATGTAAATGTATATCAGCTAATCAGCTGATCAGCAACGTCATTATTTGTTTTCACTGTTCCAATTTACTCTCTTGTCATAGGCAATAAACACGAAAACATATAACCTAACGATGATCCAAATTTTTAAAAGGACGGAATCTTAAATTAAAATCAGATAAATTAAATAAGTTCAGTAAGTAAGTAATTTATTAACACAAAAAACTTATTTGAAAATGCCGCCGATATCACTGAGGACCAGCTCAATTTCAAATTTGGAACATCAGTAGAAATCGAAGGGGAAAGTTTTATGATTGTGCACTACGAAAACCGTGACCGCCTGTAATAGAAAAGTCGTCAAAGCATGTCACTAATTCCCTTTTATTTTAAGCCTTACTTCAATATTTGTAGTGTGTTCAATTGCAGGAACAGCAAATATTTGTCTTGAAGTGGAGCGCTCCAGTAAAACAAATTACCGTTTTTGTCTTATTAGGAAAGAAATAATTTATTGGCACTTGAATTATTTTTTAAGTGGCGATATTTTTTCTTCAAAAACTCTTTCGTTTCATTGCATGACAAAAGGCAGTTAATAACAAGAGAATAAAATTTGCAAAGTTTGATATACATCGTATTGAAAGTGTACTCTAATAGTATGTAGCATGCGTTTAAAGAATAATAATTACAATTCAATATTTCTTTTTAACTTTCCTCCAATTAAGTTAGAATCAAGAATATATTACTTGTTTGGCTATTGATACATTTTTTATTGAAATTCTGTTATTTGTTATAAACTAAATAAATTTAAAAAAAATAGAAACACTACTGGAATTTGATTGTTAAAGAGTTTATTATATATTAATGCTTGAGGTGCGGTGATCTATGATTGCTGAAATCCACGTCATTTTGGTGCGGATCAATATCAGCTCTTCCTTTATAGCTGCACAGCCTCTGATTTTGAATCGTTCGAAAATATGATTTTATTAATGGAAAATCGCCAGGGATAAACACACTGATACTTTAATCATATGATTCAACCACAATTGGTTAAGTATTTAAATTTTAATTTTATAATTGTCCAAACGATAATGCGTCATATCTTCATACCACTAAGGAAGTGCTGGAAGTAATATTTATTGAAAAATGTATATTGTATACCTAGTTATTGCAGATTTACATTTGACATACCTCTTTATGGGTTTTGAACTCTTCAATGTTCTTCAAATTCATTATTGATTTGGCCATTTTAGCTCACTTGGCCCAAACTTGCAATTGCCATCACTTTTTGTCGTCGTCGTCGTTGTCGTAGTCTTAAACTTTTTCAAGAGTTTTCTCCTCTGAAACTTCAGAACCAAATCAAACTAAACTTGGGGTGAATGATCCTTATGGTATCTAGTATAATGTTTGTGGTCAGTCAAAAAATCTGGCCACCATGGCTAAAATAGAACAAAGGGGTAAAACGCAGTTGTTGACTTAAATCTCAAAAACTAAAACAGTTAGAGCAAAACTAACAGGTTAAAATGAACAGCAGGCTCATATCTTGTCAGAACCTTGTTAAGCAAAGTAAGAGCTACAAATAAGTCAATATGACCGAATTGTCTATTGATCCCTTTTAAGAGTTATCGCCCTTAAAAGATAATTTATACATATTTTTTTAGTTTTTCGCAGAAACTATGATAGAAAGACAGAAACTTCAATTAGCAAAAATGTTCAACAAAGTAAGAGCTACAAATAAGTCAAGTGACTGAAATTGTCAATTGAAGTCATATTAGGAGTTATTGCTCTTGAAAAACTTTTACCAATTATTTATTTTTTTGCAGAAACTATGATAGATAGAATCTTTTAAAGGCATTTTTATAAACATGCATTAATATACTTAAACAGCAAAAAAAACCATTAAATGACTTATGCATATCACTTTACTAGACCAAACCAATTTGTACTCGACTTACCCAATGTCAGGCGACCATGGGAATGACGAATTATGGGAGCTTTGTTAGGGAGACTTCGTAACAGCATCCTGTTACAATTATTTCTTGTTGCATTCCAATTTGAATTCTCTGGACTATACAATGCAATGACAATACATTATCAATTTTATAAAATGCATATCCATATACCAGGATACTTGTTGTGCATTAGACGTTTCAATTCTGGTAGCATTATATTTAAGAAAAGGCGTCTCGTTTTGGTTATATATGTTGTTGTCATCATATTGAGTCTTTACATATTCTCTCAATATTGATATCATACAGATTTGTTGTGCGTTCAACACAATCTATTCGTGGTTATTTGCAAATATTCAGATGTCAAAGGTATTGATATAACAATTGTTGTGATTAAAATTAAACTGAGAAATTGAGGTTTTGTCAAGTCAAAGGTTCTTTACTTAACTGAAAATGTTGTCTTCAATAAGTTGATGTATTTGTTGTTAAGAAGTTAAGAACATTCTTAATTTCAATCAATCCCTGGTTATAATTTTCATCAATCACTTTTCAATCTGGGCTAGCTCCTAAATATTCATCTTCATGAACAAAATCCTATTTTTCATTTTAACTGTTAAATTTTCTTTTTGTTGTACATACTCCTGTATAGTTACTATTTGTCTCTAAGGTCAAGTCTTATAGATTTATTACCTCTAAATATATTGCAGAGAAAAGAATCCAAAGGAGGGACATATATTTTGGATTTCTTTTAAACACAAGACTTTAATTTAACGATGTTATTTTTTTTATTCTCCCGGCCATCTTTGTTGCTGATGTTATTTATAAATTTGTATGTTTTTGCTATTCCTTGGACATCGGATAATCGTAAAGTACAGTTCTTTTCCAAAAATGTCTTCCTTCGCTTGTATGCTTTAGTTTCCATAATGTGTTTATGCATGATTTCATGTTACCCTCATGAATTAATGTAATTTTCTTTTCACTCGGTAATTCTTATTTGTGGTTGCAGTGGTTGAACGTTTTGCCTCAATTAACCTTAGATATCACGTGTTTTAAACATTCCGCAAGGATAGTGGTAAAGTTACCAATAAAGTTTAACTTTTATTAGCCGCGTTGTAAGGTATTAGGGCTACATGTATATCCTGACGCATCCCACTTTTCAAGTCAGATGGAACTCAATTTGAACCAAACCGTTATTCCACTTATGCCTCTAACGATTTTTCATCTGACCACAGAGATGCCTATTCAGTAAATACATTTTCATGCGTTATCTATTTCATATAGAATTACGTCATTCTCTTTCCAACATTTGATTTTAAAAAATAAATTAAAAAAAACGATATATGCTATGATTGCCAATGAGCCAATTTCGCACTAGAGACCACATGCCGCACATGTGTTTCACGACGTGTGCCACTAATAGAGAAGGATCAACTTTCCCTGCATGTATACCGGAGATAATCCTCAGTTGTTGTTGGGGTTTGTGTTTCTAAGTCTTTAGTTTTCTAAGTAGTGTGTTTGGACTTTTTTTATATTTTTTTCTTAATTCGTTTTTTGCCATGACAGCTTCTCTTCGACTTTTGAGTTATCTCTAGCCTCTTTTTTAAATGAGGTTGTTTAAGATTTGTAAGCTATCCAATACCCCTCATTATTATAATTAATGGAATATTTGAAAATGAAAATCGGGACATGGTAAGAAATGTTATATAACAGAAATTTCGAATTGAAACAATGAGACATCTGCTGATTAAAGGTCGTAAGGTGAAAGCTTTTTCCGTTTTTGGAAAGGATTGGAATAATAAACCAGAAAAGTGTCAAGAGTCTCCAATGATATACCATCAGATTTTATTTTTATTTTTCGTTATATTATTTTCCGAATTTTTAAAGGAATTTTTTTTCATGACGCAACTCCAGATTTGTGAAGTGAAGTGGGTATTTGTAAACAAAGTCAAAATGCTGTTTTTTCTACCTTTTATGTCTTTGTAATTAACTGTATTCTCCTTTTATTAGCTAATCTGATTTGAATATTGGTTCAAAACTATCTAGAAATTAATTGAAACTTGGTTCCATTTTTCTATAAAAAGCAATCAAATGAGAAATAAATTAGTATACCAATCGATATAATTTTCTGGACGTGATAACTAAATAGAATAAAAATTTAAAGAATAAATTATTGTCCCCGCCGCTCAAGCCCCTGTGATATAGTTATTATCTTCGTCCGTCCGTTTGTCTGTCCGTCCTTCAGTCGTCCGTCACTATTCCAAGACCGTTTGACCTTCCATACATGGTAGGATTATGTGTCAACCTATTCTCTAGACTATACTTTACCTTCAGTTTGATTTTACAATTGTTACAGGAGTTATGGGAATTTGACCGGGTATTTTTTTTTTTTTTTTAATATCGTACCACAACGACACCTTGTGAACGCTAGTTTCTTTATATATATTTTTGTCGATCTCTCCGTTTGGTATCATTCCAGTAAACATTATACTCAATCAGTAAACTTTTCCTGCCGTCGAAGTCATCGATGTTGTGGTCCGACTGTACATATACATTTTGAGATTGTTATTAATTCCCAATAAAGGAACGTATAAAATATTGCTACTAAAATTGCCAGATTGAACATTTTTGGGCAAAGCTTCAGAAAATATACATTGAGCACAAAACACAGTGACCAGTATTTCAGCGTTATGATTTAAATCTTCTAAATTCAATAACAGATTTGATCATATTCAGAATCAAAGACAAATGTATTATAACTTTTGCATTAAAACAAATAACCATTTTATAAAGACTAGATCATATCTACAAATTCATTAAATACATTTGTATGTCGCAAATGTTGCAGATCAATAAATCTATTCTAAAAAAGGAGTGCTAAACTTTGATCTCTGACTTGTATCTAAACGATTATCAAAAGAAATGAATTACCGAAAAAGATTACGTCAGAGAAATGTCAAGTAGTCTGTTTAATTGATTGCAGAGGTCGTGCATGCACATTTTTTCAAAATTGAATATTACACAGCTTATTAAAGTATAAGTAACATATTTAGAGTTTGCCGTTCATTCCATACACTTTTAAAGTAATTGCAAAGTTGTTGATTGTAAAAGCTTGTATTTTAAGACTGTATTCACAGACGTATGGATTTAAAAATCAATTTTCTCCTAATAATTGTGTGGCATGCATTTCTTGTAGGTAAGGCTTTCACTTGTAGTAAAATAAAAAAAGATATAAAAAAATTGCTAAAAAAAAAAGATATATAATCAACATCCGTGTTATGTAGGTTATAAATTTACTTAGAATTTTGCATCATTTTACCTATTTTAAAATGAAACATGAACAAATTAAAACCATTAATAAAAGAAAAGAAAAGATACGAAAAACATAAAGAAACAACTACAACAGGCATTTAGTTATATTGGTAAGATGTAGCCAAATAACTTTCTTTCAGTTGGCATCAAAAGAGATAAGACTAAATATTTTATAAAAAAAAAATTAAAAGAATTGTTATTACTACTTAAAGGGGCATTGGCTACGAAGTTTACAAAAAAATCAAAATATTTCTTTTTTTTTTTCTTTTTTTTTAATATCTATAGCAGGATCTGTTAACCCTTCCTGAGCACCTGAGATCACCCCCGTTTTTTTATGGGTTCGGGTTGTTTAGTCTTTAGTTTTCTTTGTTGTGTTTTGTGTTCTGTTGTTTATCTTTTCGTCGTTTTTCGTTTGCCATGGCATTTTGTTTGTTTTCGACTTGAGTTCGAATGTCCCCCTTCGGTATCTTTCGACTCTCTTCTGTAAAAGCGAATTTAAAATATTTCGCTTTTCGCAGTCAGTTTTTGTTCCATTTTGTCAAAACAAAAGCTTAGAAAAAAAACGATGATGTATTATTATTGACTTGCAGCCACCGGGAATATCTCTTTTGTTGACTGATTCTGCCCACAACAAATCAATCAAATACAGGTAAAACTTCGATTTACATAATTCTTCAATCTATGACATGACATAGAAAAAACTTAGAAAAACGTCATTATACGATTGCACGTGCTTGTCTGTGTATCTATATTCTTTTTTTTTGTTTACATCGGGTCATATGACCTACGGAATTCTCCGGAGATCATCTCGATGGTTAATTAGATGGCGTCTATTCTAGAATACACTCGAAATGTTGTACATTATAACGACTCCATGCATTGTAAATGTTTCTTTATGAATTTTAGTTATTTAGACAGACGTTTTAGTATGTTTTTAATATATATGAAATTTCGAGTCGAATCGGTGAACATGAATTTGACAGCTAATGCCCTTTAACCCATGATAAAATCATGTAATCTGAAATATAAGAGACTCCTCGACAACAAAAGTAGGTAGCTGCTGTTCTATACTGATCCCATTTATATTGTAATTGATGTCTTCTGTATATTTTCCAGCTGAGCTATAAGAGAGCTTAGTTTTGATGTCTGGTTTCACTCACTGTTACCTGCATGGTTTCGAAACGTTTGAACTAGCTTACATAGTTCTAAACTGTTACCTGCTTGATTTCAAAACATACAGGTTCACCTTAAATAAAACATTTCACTTTTGTTTGAAGGTTCCAAATGTTATCAATCTCACTTTACTTAAATGTCTTGAAAGAAAGGAAAACAGTTTATTCGATCACAATGAATATTTTCCAATTAGTTTCGTAAAAGATTTTTTGGTGGATAGTTTTGTCCTATTGGCAATCATACCACATTTCCTTATTTTTATATGTATGATAAAAATTGACAATCTTTTCACTATTTAGGTGAAAAAATACAACCGTGCGTTTATTAGGATAAAATAAAAAAAAAAATACACTAAATTTGTGTTTTCAAAACGAAACTAACTTGGAAATCAAAAGATCGTTAACATATTTAAAGCGTATATAAGTAATCGCAAAGGGGTGTTAGACAAAATTATATAACAATTTTCCCCTGTTGTTGTTATTTGCATTGAATGTGTCAAACATGTAATCATCTTGGAAATGTGTTATTTGTTTTGCAAAAGAAATTGTTTCAAATAAATTTTAGATTAATGTTAAAATGTGTTATATGTTTTTAAAAAATCAAATATAGTGTAAACACAGGTAAATAAACGTTTTAAAGTACAGTTTTAAGATTTGGCACAATATATTCTGTAGACACCTAGTATCTAATTTTACATGTTTATCATATGTTCTATAATTATTTCCAATTTTCACCATTTGAAAAGTAGATGCATTTATATTCAATTTATTTCTTGTGTATCGGCATTAATGCCGAATATAAGATATTGTTTTAAACAATTCATAAATAAATTTCACCACAATTGACTTAGTTCTTCACTGGCATTGATTAGATATAAGAAGATGTGGTATGAGTGCCAATGAGACAACTCTCAATCCAAGTCAAAATTTATAAAAGTAAACCATTATAGGTCACATTGTTTCCAACAAGCGATACAAGACCTTCCTGTAACTTAGTGGTTGTCGTTGGTTGCTGTTTGTCATATATATTTTTTTTACTTGTTTCATCTGTAATCAGGTCGTTGGTTTTCTCGTTTAAATTGCTTTACATTTTGTTGTCTGGACATTTCTATAGCTTACTATACGGTAAGGTTTGGCTCAACATTGAAGGCCGTACGTCATTTGGTGGTCTTTGGTGGATACACTGGCAATTATACCACATATCTTTATTTTTTATTAAGGGCATACGATACAGTAACAGGGGAGATAATGACGTTGCTAACGCAATTTTTTTTTTTTTTTTTTTTTGCGGCGTCACACTGTGACATATCGGGAAAAGTTACATTTTTCGACTGATATAAACCATCAGCTCGAAAATGAATACATTGACCCCTATTTTATAAAATGACATTTTGATTGGTTATATATGAAGATTATATTTACCATTTTTTATGAACAAATTACCAATGATTTTTTTTCAAAAGTAGATAAATATACAGCAAAGAGTGCCGTTTTTTTTCTCTTAAATCATGTTAATTTAATAAAAATGAACTATTTCAAAAGACTTGTTACACAAACTTTGAGCATAGTTTTGTAAAAAAGATATTTCAAATGTTTATACAAAAAATCCGCTTGCGTTTGTCTTTTAAAACAAAAACGTAAGGTAAGTCTGTCCAAAGGATAGAAATGTCCATGAAATCAAAATTTTGAGTAAATGTCTTAAATTTCGACTGCATTTATCTCTAAAAGTAGCACATGAACCTATATTTTGTATTACATATTTGAATACACCTAATCGCTATTTATTCCATTCCGGATAAGTTCTAAAATTACACAACTTTTTCATCCAGTTGAAGCTATCTGGGACCCTGTTTAAACAATGCACCATGCATGATACTTTTTAATGAGACCTGTTTAAAACATCGTAAATACTTCAAACAAAATATTTGTTTGACTATAATTTGAGATTCGAAAAAGTGGATCATAATCTATCAAAGTTTCCTATTGATCGCTTTCTAAATTTTTCCCTCCCTCTGCTCGTTACTGATGACCTTTGTTTTTTGCCTGTTGACCCTAACAGGAAGTTGTCTAAATGACAGTTTTTTTCCGGATTGGACTAAATAGCGATAAGGTGTATTGACTAAGTTAGAAATAGCTTGTATGCAAATTTTCGTCAACAATTCACATTGGGATCAAAACTCTATCATATGCCCTTTATTAAATGTTGATAGTATTCAAAGGGAATTCTATATAAACATATTATTTTTAACGGAATCATAAAACAAAGATGATCGCTTCTTGTAAATTTAATAATAATGGCATCCGTATATTTTTCAAAGACATGAAATTCTGAAATACGTGAGATTTATTCTGAAGTAAAGAGATCTTAGGGGTGTTGTAAGAATATATTCAACCAGATGTTATCAATCGAATCTCAATCGCAGCACTTGTCATCTACGTTCAGTTTATCAGCAAACATCGAAAATAGCCGAATGATGTTTTGACATTGCAAAATAAGAGTAAAATTAGATACCTGCTTTTCACCATTGCAAAAAGTAAAATAACAAAAATACCGAACTCAAAAGGAAAATTCAAAACGGAAAGTCCCTTATCAAATGATAATTTAACTGATTCCAATATAAAAAAACTTAAAAGACGGTATTCATACGATTCAAACGTCATACAAAAATTACCTACAGATAAAAACAAATATGCATCTTGTAAAATTATGCAGTTCATATATCGATGGTATCTTGTCAGACAATAACTTATGCTTCAACGAATGTTTGCATCATATGTATTCGAGTGAACTTGACATTAAGGATACAACTTAAACTATATGGTTTGCTTCATATGTTGATCTCTTTCTACAAATTTACACAGATGGCCGTCTTCAAAATGCAAACGATGTAGTCTTGCATAAATTGTGTCCGTGTCTCATCTCACGAGAAATTATTTGTTCCTTTAGTCTTTAATCCTTATTTTCATATTTTTGAGGTTTTAGATAATAAAATAGTCGTTCAATGTAACGCTTTTTAAAAAATAAAATTTCAGTGTATTATGAAAAATAGAAATTCCAAATCAATTTAAAATAAGGTTTTGAGGAGAATGCCATTAAAATTGTTTTAATAGCTTTAGTGTTGTATTGCCACAATAAAATACCAACATGACCTGCGATTAAAACAACCTCTTCTACTATTATATAGATATAAGAAGATGTGGCATGAGTGTCAATGAGACAACACTCCATCCAAGTCACAATTTGTAAAAGTAAACCATTATAGGTTAAAGTACGGTCTTCAACACGAAGCCTTGGCTCACACCGAACAGCAAGCTATAAAGGGCCCCAAAAATGACTAGTGTTAAGCCATTCAAACGGGAAAACCAACGGTCTAATAAGTAATCACCCCTGGTTAACAGTTATTGCGATAATTTTAATTGGTACATTATCTAATATATAAAAGCAAATACTGCTGTCCCTAAGTGATAGTACTTTTTATTACAATATACTTATACCTCTTATCTAGTACACGTGCATATGTTCACCTTATGCATATTTACATTCACTTGTAGTTGTTAAGGTCTTTTAATAAACACTTACCATTGGATCGAATTGGACCTTAAACTATGGGTTTAAAGTTGCGACGTATGTTTCCAATTCGAGAAAAAGATTTCTTTTTTTATTAAACAATACTTTGTAATCATTCGAAGCTCAGTTTACAGTGCAGCTATCTCCCCTCTTGCTAATTACTAATTGTATGGAGATTATATAGTCTTTTCTATTGTTTATTTAGTAACTGTTACTGTTTTGTAGATACTTTGAACAACGTGGTATCGGCAAGTGTAGTTGTCACGTGTGACCGATTTTTTCTTCCTTTTTCGTAATAAAGTTAATAAAGATATCTGCACACCTGGGGAGCTGATCCTATAACGATATAGGGTTTTGTATCATGTACTAGCCTTTGTGTTGTGGTCCAGGGTTTAAATACTTTATGTTCGGTTGACAAACGAATTAACACATACAATATATTAATTGTTATTTATAAACGCACTTAACAATTATTTGATAATGTATAATTAATCTATTTTGATCAAAATCTGACCTAAATTTTGTCCAATTTTCTTCTTTCCTTCTTTCCTTTCTTTCCTTTTTTTTTTTAACTCTATTGATTCTTACGCTGCACTTGCTCAAATTTTTTTTGTCTGAATTATAATTTTTTATGTAAAGATAAACATCAACATTTGATTATTCAAATCATTTTGTCATTTTCATATACCATGTCTTATATAAATGATTATACACTCCATCACTTCGGTGCATTCAGTTCTTTTTTTTTACTAGGCGATTGTATCATAAACCAATTTTATATACTGATTTGAATTTTAAATAAATATTTTGTTCATCTGAAATCAATACTAAAAGATTGCCTATTGAATGGTATATTTTTATAACTGTGATTTCATGTTACCATGAGCAAGGCGACATGTACCACTAATGGAGCAGGATCTGCTTACTCTTCCGATTTACCTGATTTCATCTTCATCTTATGTTGGGGTTCTTGTTGCTCAGTCTTTAGTTTTCTCAAGTTTTTTTTATACTCTTTTACATTTTCTTCTTAATTCGCTGTTTGCCATGATGGTGTCAGTTTCTCTTCCACTTATGAGTTTTGAATGTCCCCTGAATATCTTCCGCCTCTTTTTGAATTTTTGTTTTTAAAGGAGATGGTTAATGGTTTGTATGCTATCCAAAACCCACATTATTATTATAAATGGAATATTTGAAATTGAAAATAAGGTCATTATAGGAAACGTATATAACAGTAATTTCGAATTGAAACCAAAAGGAATCTGCCGATTGAAGTTAGGAAGGAAGCAAGCTACGCTTCTGGAATGGATTGGACGGATAAAACGGAAAAGTATCAGGAGTAATGAATATTTTATTACAATATACCACCAGATTTAATCCCGTTGAATCCTTTTCCATATATGTTAGGGATTTGCTTTGAGTTTCCCTTAAATTGTAATCATTATGAAAATTAAACCACAAAAGCAAACATATCATGGATGGTTGTAAAAAAAACAGTGACCAGTATTACAGCTTCTTAAGTGTTATAATTTAAATCTGCCCAAATAAATCACATTTGTGATACTTTTCAAATCAAAGATAAAGGTATTATAACCTTTACATTGAACCAAAAAAACATTTTATAAAGACTAGATCATATCTACAAATTTATTAAACACATTTATATGTGACAAATATTGCAGATATTATATAAATCTTTACTGTAAATGGAGTGTTAAACTTTGATATGTGATCTCTGAAGTGTATCCTAACGATTCTCAAAAGAACTAAATAACCGAAAAAAGATAACATCATAAAAATGTCAAATATGCTGATTGCTGAGGTCTTGCATGCACATTTTAAAAAACTGAATATAACACAGCATATTAATGTATAAGTAACAGATTATTTCGAGTTCGCAGTATAGTTCTAATAAGTAATTTCAAAGTTTTTGATCGAGACTGAATTTAAAGATTGTGTCTAAAGAAGTATGGATTTAAAAATAAATTTTCTTTTAATAATTGTGTGGCATTCATTTTTAGTAGGTAAGAATTCTAATTGTAGTAAGTAAATAAATCTAAAAAGGGATTGCTGAGAGAATCAGAGAAACAAACGTTCCATATTATACATGGTATACATTTACTTTTGTAAATTGTGCATTATTCTACCAATGTCAAAATCAAACATGCTGAAAATTGAACTCATAAAATAAAAGTTACGAAAAACATAATGAGACAAATATAAAATCTTTTTATTGCAGTGTACATGACTAGATATACTATAAATAGAAGTGAAAGTTTTTTTTTCTACCCGTGATAACATGTATGTTTTCTGCTGTTCTAAAAGAAAATTCAAATTAAAAACCCAACTATAATGACAATTAGTACATTCAACTATGTAATCAGCACCTACTGATCCCATTATTAATATATTATTGTAATTGAAGTCTTCTGTATATTTTTCAGGTGAACTTTCCGAGAGCTACGTTTTAACGTCTGATCTCACTTACATAGTTCTAAACTGTTATAAAAATTTCGATCCTTGTATCTTTGATGAGTTTATATATAACTTTAAACTGTTACCTGCATGGTTTTCAAACATCCCAGCTACATGTGGTGTAACCGCACCAGAACACCATGAATATTTTTCGAATAGTTTTGTTAAAACCTTTACCATCCTAAATACCTATTTAAAATTTGTAGATGTTGAATGTTTAAGCACCACAAAACAGATATATGATGCCATATTTACTGGTTATGACAATGGACTAAGACCAGTATGTGGAGGAGCGACACTAGTTAATCTATCAATTGGTGTAGCAGTTCGACAACTGATAGATCTGGTACGTTACGTTTTTCTACAACGCTTAATATTTTATTACTTTTTCTAATGTTCAATTACATTTATCGATTTTAAGATGTAAACAAAATTCACGAAAATGTACGTTCCATTAATAAATTATTCACTTTCCCATCAAATTTGTTGTATAACATGTTTATGTATCACTTGCAGGATGAACCAAATCAGGTGATGAAGATAAACTTGTGGATCCGATTGGTAAGTTTTCACATGTATTGCTGGAATATTTTTAAGGACTATTTGACCTTTTATTTAAGATTGATACAGCAAGTTTGTATCGGATAAAAAGGATCTATCATGAAACACCTAAAAATTGTGTAAATATCTAATGTAGGAATTTTCTTGTCTTTCTCACGATTAAAAAAACCATGTCCTACCTATATATAGCTAGATTGATATTTAAAACATGTGTTAAGAGTTCATTTTTAGAGTTCGCTTATGTTACTCACTAAGAGAAGCATAATTCATGTTACTTTCATTTACAAAAGGTGTTTATAAACATAAGATGAGGGGACAAAAATGTTTGTTGTTGTTATGATTCTCCAAACATTAAATTTTGAATTAATCAGTGCAAGGTCATCATCTATATATATATACATGTATATATATATAATTCGTCTAAACAACAGCCCAACAATGTTAGATCTGTAAATTTGCGGAAGCAAATTTTTTGTTCTTCCCTGGCCGGGATTCGAACTCATGCTACTGAAATATCGTGGCACCAAATAGCCTTGCACTATGCCCGACGCGCTAGACCACTCGACCACCTAGGCTCTATAAATATAAAGCTTTCGGTGGCCGGGTATTACCTTTCCTATTTATATTTAATTTTTGCACCTCATGTTTGCGGTATACTATCTTTTCCGCAAGTTTATTGTTTTCTGTTTGGTATTAAATTAATTTATTAAGATCCATTTTGTTACATCTGGTGATCCTTTTATTTGTCAATCGTCATGGCAGTCAGCAGGGTTTAATAACATCCGTTGTTCGACCTGCTAGTCAAATGCGTTTTGTTAAAATATACTTTTCACTTTTTTGGTCTTTTGGAAAATGTTGTTTGTGCTGTATTTAGACCCCTCTACCAAGAAATTTGTTTTGCATGCACACGTTTAAAAATTGCGGTTTTTATCCAACGCAATCATAGGTTTGAACGTTGTTTTCAATTTAGACTTGTATGTATATATATATATATATAGAAGCAAGGGTTCGAATCCAGCTGAGGGAAAAACAAAAATTTGCTAACGCAAATTTGAACATCTAACATTGTTGGGCTAAATTTGAGACAAAATATATATATATATTATGGTGTGAGCCCCACGTGTTATCCAATGGCGAATGTCTGTCATAAAGTTGTCACATGTTTAGACGTGTATAATAAAATCAAAGTTTGATGTGGCGGCATGGTAAGTAACATTATCATCATTTACGACAGACAAAATAGCTGACCTCAAAGGTACACCATCTACTTGCCACTATACATTATGTACTGTGTTACAACCCTAGATAAAGCGGACGAGGAAAGGCAATACTCCACCAGAGAAAGCTATATTTCAATATAGCCTAGGTGGTCGAGTGGTCTTGGGCGCTTGACACGGCGCAGACGGTGTTGCTGCGATGTCAAAGAAGCAAGGGTTCGAAACCCGCTGAGGTAAGAACAAAAATTTCCTAACGCAAATTTGAAGATCAAACACTGTTGGGCTATCTACAGATCTGTCGTTAATTATGTATGCTACGATGTAAATAAAACTGATGTTTATTATAAAGATATGAATTTTTTACCTCGTTTTAGAAATGGACAGACTGTTTGTTGCAATGGAATTCAAGTGAATATAATAATACAGGCTATATAGTTGTACCAATATCAAAGATTTGGACACCGGATTTAACCCTTTATGACAGGTATACCGATATAGTAAAAAAATGCGCTTTTTACCGAATTTTGATAAAGTAGTGTCCGTTTTAAGTCATGATAACTTTACACGTATGTATCATCTTGAAGTGTTATTGAACAAAAACATTCACTTCGAAGGTCATTAAAAATGAAGATTTTGTAATTTTGTGAAATAGATATAGGAAGATGTGGTATGAGTGCCAATGAGACAACTCTCCATCCAAGTTACAATTTATAAAAGTAAACCAATATAGGTCAAGGTACGGCCTTCAACACGGAGCATTGGCTCACACCGAACAGCAAGCTATAAAGGGCCCCAAAAAATTACTAGTGTAAAAGCATTTTTTACTTTACATAAAAAAATAAATAAATGTATACAAGAGCAGACATTTTTAGCAGGATCTGCTTACCCTTCCGGAGCACCTGAGATCACCCTCAGTTTTTGGTGGGGTTCGTGTTGCTCAGTCTTTAGTTTTCTATGTAGTGTTTTGTGAACTAGTGTTTGTTTGTTGGTCTTTTTCTATTTTAGCCATGGCGTTGTCAGTTTATTTTCCACTTAGGAGTTTGAATGTCCCACTGGTATCTTTCGCCTCTCTTTTTAAAGACTCTTTTTGCTGAATGCAATGAAATAAAAACTTGGATGCTTTTACAATGCAAAATAAATAATTGAAGTAAGTAGTAAGTTTCAAAGAAAAACATATCTTGATATTTTTCTATACACAAAACGATATATATACAATTCTAATATGACGCCTTTCAAACACTTTGGATCATACCCGTGGTAAAATACGAATGTAAATGTATATCAGCTAATCAGCTGATCAGCAACGTCATTATTTGTTTTCACTGTTCCAATTTACTCTCTTGTCATAGGCAATAAACACGAAAACATATAACCTAACGATGATCCAAATTTTTAAAAGGACGGAATCTTAAATTAAAATCAGATAAATTAAATAAGTTCAGTAAGTAAGTAATTTATTAACACAAAAACTTATTTGAAAATGCCGCCGATATCACTGAGGACCAGCTCAATTTCAAATTTGGAACATCAGTAGAAATCGAAGGGGAAAGTTTTATGATTGTGCACTACGAAAACCGTGACCGCCTGTAACAGAAAAGTCGTTAAAGCATGTCACTAATTCCCTTTTATTTTAAGCCTTACTTCAATATTTGTAGTGTGTTCAATTGCAGGAACAGCAAATATTTATCTTGAAGTGGAGCGCTCCAGTAAAACAAATTACCGTTTTTGTCTTATGAGAAAAAAATAATTTATTGGCACTTGAATTATTTTTTAAGTGGCGATATTTTTTCTTCAAAAACTCTTTCGCTTCATGCCATGACAAAAGGCAGTTAATAACAAGAGAATAAAATTTGCAAAGTTTGATATACATCGTATTGAAAGTGTACTCTAATAGTATGTAGCATGCGTTTAAAGAATAATAATTACAATTCAATATTTCTTTTTAACTTTCCTCCCATTAAGTTAGAAACAAGAATATATTACTTGTTTGGCTATTGATACATTTTTTATTGAAATTCTGTTATTTGTTATAAACTAAATAAATTTAAAAAAATAGAAATACTACTGGAATTTGATTGTTAAAGAGTTTATTATATATAAATGCTTGAGGTGCGGTGATCTATGATTGCTGAAATCCACGTCATTTTGGTGCGGATCAATATCAGCTCTTCCTTTATAGCTGCACAGCCTCTGATTTTGAATCGTTCGAAAATATGATTTTATTAATGGAAAATCGCCAGGGATAAACACACTGATACTTTAATCATATCATTCAACCACAATTGGTTAAGTATTTAAATTTTAATTTTATAATTGTCCAAACGATAATGCGTCATATCTTCATACCACTAAGGAAGTGCTGGAAGTAATATTTATTGAAAAATGTATATTGTATACCTAGTTATTGCAGATTTACATTTGACATACCTCTTTATGAGTTTTGTTCTTCAAATTCATTATTGATTTGGCCTTTTTAGCTCACCTGGCCCAAACTTACAACTGCCATCACTTTTCGTCGTCCATCGTCGTCGTAGTCTTAAACTTTTTCAAGAGTTTTCTCCTCTGAAACTTCAGAACCAAATTAAACTAAACTTGGGGTGAATGATCCTTATGGTATCTAGTATAATGTTTGTGGTCAGTCAAAAAACCTGGCCACCATGGCTAAAATAGAACAAAGGGGTAAAACGCAGTTGTTGGCTTAAATCTCAAAAACTAAAACAGTTAAAGCAAAACTTACAGGTTAAAATGAACAGCAGGCCCATATCTTGTCAGAACCTTGTTAAGCAAAGTAAGAGCTACAAATAAGTCAATATGACCGAATTGTCTATTGATCCCTTTTAAGAGTTATCGCCCTTAAAAGATAATTTATACATATTTTTTTAGTTTTTCGCAGAAACTATGATAGAAAGACAGAAACTTCAATTAGCAAAAATGTTCAACAAAGTAAGAGCTACAAATAAGTCAAGTGACTGAAATTGTCAATTGAAGTCATATTAGGAGTTATTGCTCTTGAAAAACTTTTACCAATTATTTATTTTTTTGCAGAAACTATGATAGATAGAATCTGTTAAAGGCATTTTTAAACATGCATTAATATACTTAAACAGCAAAAAAAAACATTAATGCAAGATCTTTACAAAAAAATCACAAACAACAACGTTAATATATAAAAAAAAACTTTTGACCAGAAAATTATTGTATGCAGTATTATATCATACTATATATTTAAGTTCTCTGTTTATTTAAATTTTGATTTTTATATCATCGTTTATGTATCAGATAAATGAAGAATGTCATATGGATATTTTTAACATCACATCCATATCAACCCGAGACACCAGTATAACCACAATTGCTGTGCTGCTTGTGCATTACATTGGTTGAGGGTTGATACGGTGTGTGATGTTCAAAAAACATATTATATACACTTTATTACATACCTCAAGTAAAATTGAGAATGGAAATGGGCAATGTGTCAAAAAGACAACAACCCGACCACAGAGCAGAAAACAGCCCAATGCCACCAATGGGTCTTCAACACAGCGAGAAAATCCAGCATCATGTGAGTTGTGACATGACGTTATACAGGAAAGGGACTTTATAATGCCTTTGCAACCGTAACTGATATCGATGACGTGACGTTATACAGTATAAGGGGTTTGATGAAGCTTTTGTAATCGTGACTCATATCGATATTATGATTGGTGGCTGATACAGAACGATATCCATTGATTGTATTACACATAAAATGTATTTGATCAATATATTAATCGAATTTTTGTTAGGGTTCGTGTTGCTTGATCTTTAGAATTTTGTGCAGTGCTTTGTAGTCTGTTGTTTGCCTTTTTGTTTTTGTGTCGTTCTGTTTGTTGTCCATATTGTTCTCGTATTTTAGAGGTTTTTGTTATTGTCCCCTTGGGTCTTTTTTTCTGTCATTAGTATATTCGATAAAGAATAACATTTACGATAAATGCTCCAAATTTGTCAATTTGTTTTAAAATATTATTTTTAGCTTAATATCGAAATTTTAAAATGGTCATATGTTATGATATGTGTCATGAGTAGACAAATAAAACTGTAATATTTAGTAATAATTTGAAACCTTTTCTGAACATAATCCTGATGTGAAACAAATTCAGTGGTCTTACTTTTTTTCAAAATGGGATAATTGTGCATCAATGAAATATGGTATCCAGTAATTTTGTAAGTTTTGCAGCGGTGGATCCAGTGATAATAGGTCTGCAATCGGCACTATCTTTCACCGGATTGTTCTCTCCAAATCTCATTGTTGATAAGACTTGAACGCCATTTCCAAAGGAAAAGCCACCCTTTTCTGTTGTTAATATCGATGGCTTCACCACATCCTTAATTTAATTCAGTGGTCTTACTTTTTTTCAAAATGGGATAATTGTGCATCAATGAAATATGGTATCCAGTAATTTTGTAAGTTTTGCAGCGGTGGATCCAGTGATAATAGGTCTGCAATCGGCACTATCTTTCACCGGATTGTTCTCTCCAAATCTCATTGTTGATAAGACTTGAACGCCATTTCCAAAGGAAAAGCCACCCTTTTCTGTTGTTAATATCGATGGCTTCACCACATCCTTAATTTAACAGAAATCTTGGGAAAATAAACGTCTTTTTTCTCTTTTTTTTAATGACTGTATTTTCTATAACCTTATCTTAGATATAAGTTGCTTTCTGTTCCTTATGATAAATATTAAAGCACTAAAATAAACTTTTCATTGATAATAAATTCCAAATATTTTATTTCGAATCTCATGTTTCATAATTTAATACCAAGTTTTGAATAAAGAATTTTCATGTTTTCATTTCAGTTTAAATTTAAAAAACGAAAAATGGAAGAATGTTTCGACCGATGAAACTAGTTCAACCAGTACTCCTTATGACAGGTTTACTATTTTTATTTAACAAACAAATCCCGACGACCATCTTAAATTTTCGCTATTCATGAAGTTATTTATCGGGTACATTATCTTCAATATCACATATATTTACGTTATATAGCAATGGTATTTACTTTTATTATCCAACTTGAAAATCAAATCGGAGTCGGAAAACAAACTATACTGACCTGATATACTCTCATTGTATTTCCTGTATATTTGTAGTCTTGATTCGGAAATGAATGGCATGGATAAGAACAGAGCTTCAATCTACTCAGATGGCTCCGTTTATTATAATTTTCCAACTCTTATTGAAGTGATTTGTCCGATTGACGTAACTAGCTTTCCGTTTGACACTCAAGTTTGTGCATTGTTATTCGGTTCATGGGTGTACCATGGAAATCAACTGGATATGCAAGCAAGAGACAACCCAAGTGATTTATCCTCTATGAAAACAAATGTAGAATGGGTCATCCAAAAAATTGTAGTTGAAAGGCATGAGGTAGTATACGGATGCTGTCCGGATCCGTATCCAGATGTTACATTTTATATTCACGTAGAACGTAAACCAGCATATTACATAACGAATATAATAATACCGTCTATAATGATTACATCATTAGGTATTCTCTGCTATTTCCTCCCTGTGGACTCCGGAGAAAAGGCTTCGTTAATAATCACAGTGATGTTGGCAATGTCAGTATTTCAGTTACTTGTTGCAGATAAGCTCCCACCATCAGCCGATTCTACACCTTGGATAAGTAAGTGATTTCCCCTTTGAATATAAAGTTGTTAGTAAAACACATCTGCAGCGACGTCTTCATTTTTTTTAAAGGAATGTTATAAACATGTGTTATTTAATTAAGATTACTTTTGAGTGAGTCTCTATTTAAATATTTCAAAAATCTTGAAAATTATTCAGGCTAAATAAAATCATATGAACATCATTATTAAAATATGAAACCATATGATAACGTTCTTTGTTTTAATTTATATCAAGTTTTCATTAAACAAAATTATCACTATATTTCTGAAAGGTTCTTTGGTTGGCTAAAAAATGGGGTATGAAACTTTTTAAGCTTTCAATCTACTGTATACATTTGATGTACAGCTTACATTCTCGTAAAACATTTGGGTTTCGAAAAATGATCATTGCATATTTTACGTTATATTTCAGTGTTCTTTTTCAACTTTATACTGGGACTGTCTGCTGTTTCAACTACGGTCCAGGTATTTGTTATCAATATCTACTACCGCGGGGAAAAAGAGATGCCCCAATGGATTAAAAGGGGCATCCTCGTACCATTATGCTTTATGACGTTTGTTAACATTCCTGGTAATCGTCCATCAATCTGTGGTAAAGAGGTAAACATTTATTTTATTTTTATTGTTGACAATTGCTTTTTACCGTTTTTTTTAAATGAGATTGGGTTTGGTTATTTCAAACCAAACCCAACAAGATAAAAAAAAGGCTTTACACATAAGATCGGTGCTAAATTATTGTAAATAACAAAAGAAAAATACGATTTTAGGTAGCACACAAGTACAGAATGCTAGGTCAATGTACTATTTTAATAACTAAATAAACATTAGACTCCCAAATTTAAATATCATTCAGTACCGCTACAATATGTATAATATAAAGACGTCTTCAGCAGCCAGAAAGCATGACCTTATGCAAAGACAATATATAGGTAGCGACAGGATGAAGGACTACAGTAATGTTAAAATATTTGGGTATCAATACATGATTAGTTATGAATTCAATATAATCAGATCAATACTATGACCTATACTTACAATATTCAAAGATCTTACTTCAATGGTAAATTGATACGGATCAAGTTCAGACTGGATAAATGTAGTTCTTTTGGAAGATTACCACTTAAGTTTGAGTGATTCAGTTCCAATTATTAGGTTTACAAGATTATAAGCCATTGTAAATGACAAAAGTCAGAATTCAGATACACTGATAAGATTGCACCTGAAAAGAATGATTTATTTCTTATCTTAAATTTTAAAAAAATGATTAAGAAATCCAGTTTCTTGTTTCAATGTAGGATTGAAAGGTAGCTTGGTCAATATTCCGACCAGTCGCCAGATTGACATAAATAATAGTCAATGGTCGACTGATCAACAGGTCGTTTGATTTACAGATCGCCTGGTCATATCATTATGATAAAGATCTAAAAGTGTGTGCAATACATTCTGCCTGGAAATTGATCTGAACTAACTTATTTGTTTTGAGCAAGACTCACAATTTCTAAAAATCAAGAAACCCTGTGAAACGTTTCATATTTAAGTATCAATTGGGGTACTATTGTATGACAACATTTCTTGCAATACCAAGAGAGGGGCCTTTTTTCCATTAATAATTACAAACATCGCTCATCGCCTGATCTTCACAATTTTAGAACATTCATGTTAATTTATAAAATAGAATGAAACAACATTTCATAAATTTGGTGCGCTTGAATCGCTTTTCTGGATTTACCTTTATAATGATCGTTGATAAAAATTGAAAGCCACGGACGTGTTACTACTAGACTACGTGAGGACAGTCAGGATTCTACTTTGTCAAAATTATCTCCCCATTATGCCACCTTTTATTATAATCGTGAAAATGGAAGCCATTGTAGGGATGACGCGCTGTCGATTTAGCTCTTAAAAACCGATACATTTATGCACATAGCTTCCTTACGGTTCTTGCATGACAGTTGTATGCTAAAAGCTATTAAGTATCATTTAATGTACTTTAAGTCACTTAAAACAATTTTCTGATCGGTTGTCATTTGGGGATTATCGAAAGTTTAAAAAATACTAAAAAAAACTCTAATTCAATATTTCATGGAAGGACAGACTAAATATTTTCAGAGGTTGAAGTGTTATTACCCTAGATACTACACACACAAAATATTTTTTTTTAAGTCATGCATTTTTAAGCCTCCACTTGTAAAGTCTGTCGTCAAGTACTTTTAGTAAAAATTTGTTATTCAAACACACCTACTCAGTTATTATGACTCATTAGAGAGGTATTTCACTTGACCCATATATTTCATTTTTTAGTACAGTGCATTATTAATGTTATATCAATTTGTAACCTAAACAAATAAAAATAATAAAATGATGTATCACATATGTTTGCTTTATATCTTTCAAGACAAAACAGTCAACTCAAACACGCCTGAACATAAAATGGTGTACTCGACTTTCTCTTTTCGATGAGATTATTGCACATTTTTAGGATTTTTCACAAAAAAAACTGTTGCCGGGGGGCAGAGATGCAAATAAATGCTTTAAAAAGATCATTCTTTTATCTTTCTGTGTATTTTTTTTCGGCGGAATTTATTCTTATGCACAAAAAAGATGTGTTTGTACCTTCCACAATCGACTGTTTTGTGAAAATTTGTCTTTAATTTAAAAGTTTACAAATATTTCGAAATACCATACTATAATTTAAGTAAAAACACGTATATAAGATGCAAAAAATCCTAAATTATGAACCTACATTAAACTTTTATAGCCAATAGAAACAGATGTAAACAATTCAAATATACCAACTTGACCTTTTTTACCTTCTCTTATAAAGAGTTCCATTTCTTTGTTTAATTTCAACTGGATATCAGCTTGAGGAGCTTTATGATAAAAAAGGAACTTTTATTGTTGTGAAAATACATATGATCCATTTGTCTTGCTATTTGATGATCTTTGAATTAATAGTACTCGAACGTCAAATACTAAACAATGTCAGTCAAATTACAGCAATTTAATCATGAATTTTTTTTTTCAGAAAAAAGTTGGGGATTTAATCAAGGACGTCGAGCAGAGTACAAATACGGAGCTCTGGCAGTTTTTGTCTGTAGCCATTGACAGACTTGGACTAGTATTATTTACGATTACCTTAATAGCCGGAAGTTCTTATGTTTGGTCGGCTAAATAACTGGTACTTTATAATGAAAATGAAATATTTCGTGAGACACCTTAAATCTATATTTTGATGATAAGAAGCATGCAAATTGCGGTTTGATTTTATTCAGTTTTATAAGGACAGTGCGTTGTTCTACGGGTCTCATTTACTATTCACATCATGACAAAATTTTAATAAAAACTTTCTAATGTCATTGTAATGAAAAAGTTTTTATTGATCGGTGTTTAAAAATATCAAAATAAAAATAGCTATATTCATTACTTATTTATTCCTTTGCCACTCGCACCCGTCCGATTTCTTTATCTTGTTACCAACATATTTTTGTAAATATGTGGCCCTTAACTTGTGTATTTTGATTTACTTTGGGTTGTTGTTTTGTGTATTCGTTATATTTGGTCATCAAAATGCTGATGTAAAGTGACCTTGATGAAGGTTTTCCGAGGGTCAAGTGTTGTGCGTATCCCTTATAATTATTATTTACACATATTTATAACTGACATTGTGTTTTTGCGCCAAGGGTATAATCATGTTAGGTATAAAAGAGGGACGAAAGATACCAGAGGGACAGTCAAACTCATAGATCGAAAACAAACTGACAACGCCATGGCCAAAAATAAAAAGACAAACAGACAAATAATAGTACAGATGACACAACATAGAAAACTAAAGACTAAGCAACACGAACCCCCACCAAAAACTGGGGGTGATCTCAGGTGCTCCGGAAGGGTAAGCAGATCCTGCTCCACATGTGGCACCCGTAGTATAAGCATCCCTTTTGGTTAACATTGTCTAAAAGAGAGGCAAAAAATCCCAAAATGATATTCAAACTTATAAGTCGAAAATAAACTGACAGTGACATTGCAAAAAACAAATACGACGAAAATACAAAAAACAGTACACAAAACACAACATAGAAAACAAACGATTGAGCAACACGAACACTATCAAAAACCGGGGATTATCTCAGGTGCTCCGGAAGGATAATCAGATTCTGCTCCACATGTGGCACCCGTCGTAATGCTCATGTAAGTACAAGTCCGGTAATAAGTCTAATTCGGTAGGTCACATTGTCTAAGAATATAGTCACCACTGAAGGCAATGCATTACTTGTAAATGTTCCTCCCATACGCCTTCCCAATCCATCCCCTCCTTCTCCATGTACAAAACCGCAAGTAAAAAGGATAATCACACTGTTAAAACTATGTTTAAGTCATAAATTTAAAAACAAAAGAGTAATTGTGTCCAATCAAATAGGGAAAAAATGAGAACGTCTGAAGCTGTCAAATTGAATTTTTACATCCATATACTTTTGTTTAATAGTTCTTTGTGTTGGTAAAGATGGAAACTTAAATCCACTTGGGTTATTTTAGTTACATAATACAGGTAATTAAGAAAAGATATTATCAGAGTCTACAGAAAAAAACTAACCAGTAAATTTAGAAAATGACGACCCGATTATCAAGACTTTGCTGAAGTGTTTCAATTACGTTACTTCATCGTTCTGTAACACTGTTGTTTTTGTCGACTCTGTTCATGGCATCCAGGGATTTGTTTGTTCCTCTTCTGTTATGAAATCTACAGTCACTCATTTCCCATAAAAATGAATGAACGGGATTGTAGTATTTACGATCTTTATTTATTGTGTTAGTCACGTGTATGTATCTTAATCATGACCATTTTGCTGTTCCCCTTTATCCTTGCTATTTTCATTTTTACAGCTTTATTTCTTTGTCATTTTACGACTTCGAAAAAAGAAGTTGAGTTTTGTTGGTCTTCTTCGTATTCTGTGTTAATAATTGAACGAATCTTTCTCAGGCAATGTTGATCTTAGATGAATTTGATAGGTCCCTTTTGGTCATACAGCTCTCCGCGTTATCATGTATTTATACATATTTAGCTTTTAAAATTTGGATTTAACGCTTTGATTAAGGTAAATTCAGAAAACAGATTCGAACCCACAACATTCATACAGTAATATTCTTAAAATTATTTCGTTATTTTGACGCCTTTTCCGTGTATCTGGTACTTTCAAAGGGGTTTCCCTGACGCTTCGGTTTTATTTGCTTATTTGGTTTACGGTAATTTTTATTTTCAAACCATTTTTTATTTTGTTCACATCTTTTCAGGGATCTTACTTCCTCATCTGTAAGATTCTGTTTTCAGTTTTCTGCAACATTCAATGAGGCAAGTTATTTTTTCAATAATACCCGCATCACATACCTTTTGTTTTTCCTCTGACCTCTTTTTCAATCTTGGAAAAACCTATTTCTATAAGATTCCGTTGAATATCGGTTTTCATTTATGATCTTCCTTTGATTGTGACTTCTTTTAATTAGAAATTCTGAAAAAGGATATTGATTTCTATATGCACCAACGCGGAAATCACATGAGCTTGGTTTTTCGCGTTTCAAAATTGTATCCATGAATTTAACTATTATCTTCACTGTTTAATGTCCCTATTCAATGGTATTATTATTTTTCAATTAACGTATTACTAAAATCTAGTAAATTGTTTGACAAGTATCACTACAAACCAGTAAAAGTCTGAAATGGCCTATATCTGTACTCGATTGTACTGATTTTTACTCGACCAGTCTGAATTGGTCTGAAATTTACTTGATAATACTCGACTGTAGTCTGAACCATACTTAACAGTCTGAACTTGTACTCGACCCTTACTCGACCAGTACTTAACCATTTTATACGCGTCTGAACCATGCTCGACCTAGTCTGAACCATGCTCGACCTAGTCTGAACCATACTCGACCTAGTCTGAACCATACTCGACCAAGTCTTAACCAACCTAGACCTATTTTTTGTATCTATCTATTGTATTTCATCAATTTAGGAACTGTTTTTAACAACAGCTATTTCCCCTGGCTAGAAATTTGAACAACAATTTGAAATTAAAAATGTATTCAATATAGCATTGAAACCAAAATTTCACAATAAACATAATATAACTTCATCACCATATTCATCAACACTTATATACATACATATATATCACCTTTAAAATAAAAATAAAACAAGCTGATCAAATAATCTCAAAACTGAATTGTGACTAATATTTTCAATGTTATTCAAAATTTTTTGAATGTTTCAGATATATTTTATTGTTACTGGACAATTTTCACCATTAACTTAAGCCTAGTATAGATTTATAGTGTCAGTCGAGTTAAGTTAATAATGCAGTGAACATTTTTTTTATTAAAATATATATAAAATAGCATACAAAGCAACTTAATAAATTCAAAAAATGACACCTTTGTTTTGTTAAACCAAGAATTTAATATAATCATGATAATAGAACTTCCATAGTAATCCTGTGATAAACTTTTAAAAAAGGAAATGTGTTCCAAAGTTACAGTAAAAATTTATTTCAATTAAATTTAAATAATTTTTGTCAAAATTAAAGACATGGCATACAAGAAGCACTTTAATAAGGTTTAATTACCTCAGTACATGTGTGTTTTACAGGTAAAAAGAAAGCCCTATTTTTCTTAAACTCGTGTATTACATATCTAGTGAATTCAAAAGGACTTGCGATTTAAGTTTCACAGGATGTTGCAATATTGAATGAATGTTAATTAGAATTTAATAATCTCTGACCAGGTGTGATCTTTTTCATGAGTTTGCCCCAAGCAGGAGGTATTACTTTATACTTCACCACTAATCAGAAGAACAATTTTATTAATTTCTTTAATTTTTATCCCTTTTTGATATATATTGTATATAATATATCCCAAATTATAATAATAGATATATTTCTAAAATAAGGTTAAACAATTTCAGTGATTTTATTGGCTGTTGTTACCTCATTAAAAAGATAATTATATAACTATTGTACATTTTTTGTATGTAACCATGAAACCTATGTAGTTTTTATTTAGGAATTTAGGAAAATTAATTTATAAAAAAATAACACATGCCAAACAAGAACCACCTAAAATATTTCAAGATCTTTCTCTTATATATTCAAACAATTGTCAACAAATTATTTGTGACTTTTTGTCCTATCAAATTTGTGACTTTATGTCTTGTGACTTTTTGTCCTGTGACTTTCTGTCCATTTACCAGGTTTAATTACCCTCAGTATAGGTGTGGTTTTTAGGTAAAAGAAAATCTTTTTTTAACAAAACTCTAAAACTTTAAAATTAATATGATTAAATTATTATATAAGATAATTTGATTTAACTATCTCTATTCGATAAATCTGAGAATCGTGTAATAATGTAAAAATCTGTTTTTATAATATATCTTTATTTTATTGTGGCTGTTGTCATGTCAGTTAAAAAGAAATTTATTTTAACAGTTAAAATTTAGAAAAAGTAGAGGTTATTTGGTCCAGTATGGTTCAGACTGGTTGAGTATTGTTCAGACCTTTGGTCGAGTATGGTTTAGACTGAAAAAAAATAGGTCGAGTACAGGTCGAGAATGGGTTATGACTGTTTCAGACTGGTCGAGTAATTGTTCAGACTATTTTCAATGGCAAAGATAAGGGTCAAGTACAAATCAGAACAGTCGAGTATGGTTAAGACTGGGGTCGAGTAATGTTGAGTAAAATTCAGACCAATTCAGACTGGTCGAGTAAAAATCAGTACAGTCGAATACAGATATAGGCCATTTCAGACTTTTTTACTGGTTTGTAGTGTATACTGTATCAACACAGAAATCGAATCCATTTTCTAAATTGTCATCGTAAATCTTCCAGATAAATCTCCAATTTATGTATCAAACGCTGCTGTGTTTCTACTCGTTGCCTTTACGCCTAAATATGTGACAACTCTATGGCCGACATGCTCCATCATATAAACAAGGATGATTATACAGGGCAAACACCACAAATATTGTATACTTCGGTTGAAATCTAACCCAACAGTGTTTTATCTTCAAATCTAGGGTAGCACAATTGTGTCCTTCGTTCATTGTGGTTTGAACCAATACTTTCGTGACATACTGGCAACCCTCTTGCACTATGTACCGCGACCTAGACAATACGGTAAGCTAGGCTGTATACAAATTAGTACATTTTTCCATGGGAACTCCCTAAATCGTTGGAAGAAATTCACCCAGAACAAATTAAATGCGGAAAAAAAGAAAGCGCTTACTAGCAGGGGTTTCTTGGGAGACCAACATTATTTTAAATTCATTGAAAAACTAAAACAACACCTTATAAATTTCGTGCGTCCGAAGCGCTTTCCTGGATTTACCTTCATCGGGAATTCACACAGCCGAATATTTGAAACACAAGGATGTATAAAACCTTTGTCGAAGCGAAACAGTTGAAGAACTTTATGAATTTATCATATAGTTAAGCTTTTTCAGCAATGTTTGCTTTTCGCCTTTTGCTTATTGGAAGTTTTCTGCAAGTTTAAAGATAAAGTTATGGAATCAATAATTTAAGTACAACCTTGAAGGCGCACCTTACATTTCGTTGTGTAGGGATCTGTCTACAGACACCTCTGCATAGGCGTATTACATTAGAAAAAAGAGTAATTTATTCTTAGTTGATGGAATAACTATTTATATGTGTAACTGATGGTAGCCACAATCCCGTCGCTTTTTCCTCGATTGCGACATCACCGAAGCGATTTATCATCGAATATTAACTTGTAATGAATAGCACAACAGATCACTTCAATTCAGAGCACTTGGTGGAGTTGTCAAATCTTGTGTGTTCGGTTGTTTGATTTTGCCTAGTTTTACCTTTTGACCTTAGTGTTGTCTACTTTTATTGGACTAATAGTTTTGATATCACCCTTGGTATATTCTCTTATTTTTATGAAGACTTAAACCATTTATATATAGTTGGCTTCCTTAAAGTAATAACGTTTTAATTCATTAGATGGAGTAGGCCCGGTAAGACCCCTTTTTGGCCCCAAAATCTAGCATTTTTACAAATTTGTTAAAATGTAAACTTCGCTATTTATTGGAAAGTAGAATACTTTTGCTACATAAATATGGACTGTTTTTGACAAAACAATGCACATGCATCAGGTACTATCGTCATTAATTCATGCAAAGTTACTGAAATCTTCACAATTTTAACATTTGTGCTAATCTTTAAACGGTTTTTGTCTGAAATGGAAGTGGCCGCACTTGTGTTCAAATAATATATATATGTTGTACTTGATGATATTACATAACATATGTAAAGGTTGAGACTGAACACGAAGGCGGCCACTTGCATTTTAGACGAGAAACATCTGAAAAGTAACGTTTTATGGCATATTTGATAGATTTTTCATATACCCGGTATATTTAAGCTTGAGTTTGAGTGTCTTTAATGACCAAATCAGTTCAAATCTTTTACAAAAAAAAACTAATTGAATCGACTGAATTAGACACTTTTAAAAGTGTTTAAAAAATGTAAAAAATCTTTCATCAGATGTGCTTCAAATTTAAGGCCAAGAATAGCCCTTACTGCCGGACCTTCTCCTTTAAAGTTAAGATAAATGAAGAATTGATGATGGTTTGTCTTAACTTATTGTTAATTGTTAAAAGTTTAAATTTGCACACAAAAAAAAACATTAGAAATGTTTGTCAAAAAGTTACATACAAACAAAGTAAGAATGGCCGCGGAAAATGTATTTAGTGTTATAAATAAGCAAAGAAACATCAGTATGCTAAAATAAAGACAAGCCATAAGTAATATAACCTTTGTAAAGAAATATTAAATTGTTTAGCAAAACCAAATCAAATCTACACATGTATTAATACCATTTGTGTCTCACGAATACTGATCTAATTATTTAAGTCTTAATTGTAAAGTAGTGTTAAAAGGTATTAAATAATCTTCAAAGTTTAACAAAATGATTCTGATAAGAATTGAATAACAAAAAAGATTACATCAAAGACATGTCAAATAGTGTTGTCATTTGTCTGTCTGAGGTCCTCCATAGGGATATTTATAAATATCCATATTAATATATATATACGGATTTCAATTGTGTTTATTGCTTAAGAACAGTAAATTCGGACTTTTTTCTCGAAAAAGACTGTGTTTTAAGATATAATGACAAATTATTGTATGGATTTAAAAATCTTCTTTTTCATACTAGTGTGGCAAACCTTTTCAGTAGGTAAGAATATTACACTTAGTGAAAAATAAATTTATTAATCATTGTGGGAGGTATACCAACAACCGAGCGCTTTCTTGAATGCAGATTATAAATTTACTGACTTACAACAGTGGCACACTTTTATGCAAAATAATATGAATATTGATCTTCTAATGTCAAAAGCCTTCGTGCAAACACATGATCAATTGAAAAGAAAGGAAACAAGAAGCTCTCAAGAGCCTGAATCGCTCACCTGTATTTCAGAGGAGAAGATTTTTAAATGTTAGCAAACTTGATGAACAAATTGTGTAAAATTGTCTTTAAAGGGCAAAAACTCCTTAAGGGGTCAATTGACAATTTTGTTCATATTAACTTTTTTGTAGATCTTACTTTGCTGAACATTATTGCTGCTTACAGTTTATATATATATCTATAATAATATTCAAAATAATAACAAAAAACTGCAAAATTTTGTTAAAACTACCAATTCGGTGGCAGCAACCCAACAATGGGTTGTTCGATTTGTCTGATAATTTCAGGGCCGATAGATCTTGACCAATTAAACAATTTTACCCCGTCACATTTTCTTTAAAAGATTTAGTTTTTGAGATATAAGCCAAAAACTGCATTTGACCCTTATGTTCTATTTTTAGCCATGGCAGCCATGTTTGTCGATGGATACAAACTTCGGATACAATTTATAAACAAGATACTCTAAGGAATATTTAGTTAAAGTTTGAAGGTAATTGGCCCAGTAGTTTCAGAGGAGAAGATTTTTAAATGTAAGCAAACTTGATGAACAAATTGTGTAAAATTGTCTTTAAAGGGCAATAACTCCTTAAGGGGTCAATTGACAATTATGGTCATTATAACTTTTTTGTAGATCTTACTTTGCTGAACATTATTGCTGCTTACAGTTTATATATATCTATAATAATATTCAAAATAATAACAAAAAACTGCAAAATTTTGTTAAAACTACCAATTCGGTGGCAGCAACCCAACAATGGGTTGTTCGATTCGTCTGAAAATTTCAGTGCCGATAGATCTTGACCAATTAAACAATTTTACCCAATGTCAGATTTGCTCTAAAAGCTTTAGTTTTTGAAATATAAGCCAAAAACTGCATTTGACCCCTACGTTCTATTTTTAGCCATGGCGGCCATGTTTGTCGATGGATCAAAACTTCGGATACAATTTATAAATTATATACCCTAAGGAACATTTAGTTAAAGTTTGAAGGTATTTGGCCCAGTAGTTTCAGAGGAGAAGATTTTTGAAATAGTTTACGACGACAGACGACGACAGACGACAACAGACGACGACGACAGACGACAACGACAGACGACGGACGACGACGGACGCCAAGTGATGGCATAAGCTCACATGGGAAGGGCCCCGGTGAGCTAAAAAGGAGATACATAGATAAATAAATGACGTACTTTCCTACGACTATATCATTATTTCATTACTTACATATTATACGTAACTTTACGGTTAGCTAATGAAGTAGAAATACTTTTCTTTTTAAGCATATAATGTTCACTCCATGTTTTAAAGGAGATTGCAGTATTACATGTTACAGCGATATTTTGTCAATGTGAATGTCGTCTCAACATGCAAGTTTTGTTTATCATTTGTCCTGGAAAACCCTGTTTCCATTAAAAAAAAACATTCGGTCAAGTTTGACTTTAACCGAATTTAAAAGTACCATGGTTCATGATTTGGGTTATGCCTTGCGGCCAGACAACAACAAATGGCCAATCTTCTGTTGTAGGATGCCTATGACCAATCAATATATTTGCCGGAGCACACAAGTTTTGGGGTTCATGTTTCTCAATAGTTTTCTTTCTGTGTGAAGTATGTTTGGAACTTTTTAGTCTCTTCCTCTTGTTTCATTTTAGTCATGGTAGTTTCTTCGATTTGTGTTTTTTTTATTCCCCTTTGTATCTTTTTTTTTCTTTTTACAATGTTAAAGGGTAGGGAAACAATATATTTTTGAAATAATGTACATTGTATTGATTTTCAAGAGATATTGAATTATATTAATTAATTGATCAGAAACAGTGATGTCATATCTGTATTTCTAATAATCCCTAAATCCACTTAAGCAATCAGATAATTATTTTTTACGTAAGAAAAATTTAATAGATTTTTTTTTCATAGACTCTATGTAAGTAGTTCTACATATTTATTACTTAAAGTCATACGATAACTCAAATGAAACAAAAATATTAAACTTTCACTTAAAAAAAAACGTGTACGTAGACTTTCTTATAAAAGAAAATGCTTTATTTTATCAAAATTTTCAGAAATGTACTGCTATTTAGCTATTGTCTTCCCGTACTCTAATTCGTCGACATCTTTACCGTATGCAGTAACCTTAACCATGACACCTTCCGTCAGAAATTCAACAATCGCACAGATTAAGTTCTAAAAAAAAACCTTAATGGCAAACAAAGTAAACAGACGTGTAATAAAATAGTATTCACAGACAAATACATTAAAAAATATCATGAAAAAGTTAAATTAACCAATGGAAACGCAAGGAAAACATAACAAACAAATCTATTTTGCTCTATCATCTCATTTATTTTTCAAGTGTTACTTGATTCTGTGTTGAGTGTTTATCAATTGATAACGATCGGTAAACTTCGGCACAACAACCCGAAAGTTACAATCACAGAATGAAATATTTTTTTCGATTATACTGTTTGGATTCGTAATCAATGTAAGAAAAAACGTGCACACAGTACTAAGTTTAATATATGTCCATTCATTTGTACAATAATTTCCTCAACATAATTACCAGAAACTCGTTTCATATGACTTTAAGCTTTTATTGGTAATTTTATTATTTCAATTGGTGCGCTCCTAGAGCTGTAAAGAGCCTAATTAATATTATTTCAACGTCCATTTTCAAATGCAATGTTTATGTTTTAAACTGTTGTTCTGCATGGCTCTTTAACTCACTTAGGTTTACATATCAGAAGCATTGTCGTATGCATAAATGAATACTATGATATCAACTTACATACATTGATTGAAAGTTCTTTTTTAAATTATTAAAATATTTTTTATTCTAGTTTTAAACTAAATTGGAAGATGTTATTATACTGTTTTGCCCTAATCGAAGCATAACATTCTTACATTGGATTGCAAAATAGTGTATTCGCTTCAGACACATACAATTTGTGGTGTATTGGCGATTGGTTGTTTTACCCCCACATCTCCTTTAAACGTATTTTACAGTTATTTTCATTTTATTCGGTCACCATGAATATTTCCCGAAACGTTTCATTTTGAAATGTTTATCATTTTTCAAAACCCTTTTTTCAAATTGTAGATGTTCATTGTATCAGCTTAAAAAAACAGATATCTGATTCCATATTTACGGGTTATGTCAGTGGACTAAGACCAGTATGTGAAGGAGCACCACAAGTAAATCTATCAATCGGTGTAGCAGTTCGACAAATGATTGATCTGGTAGGTTTTATATTAACGAAATTATGGAGTTATATCGTTGCACTCTGCAGTCGCGTAGCTATGTTTACGTCAAAACGCCCTGGCTTACACATGAATTTTGGAGAGAGAAAAAAATCTATATAAATCAAAGTATTGGTTAAAATCACATTGAGACTTGTTAATCTTTCTCCAATGACTTGAAGATAAAAGTGACGAAATTTACTTTTTAATTAAATGGTATAATAATATATATTTTTTTTTCATTTTCTGTCAAAGTCTACTCAAGTTCATGCAAAACCTGGCAAATGTCTCTGCTGTACTTAAACTGACTTTGTACTTCAAAGATATTTATTTTTTAAAGTATTGAATGGCGCAGATCAGATACATTGTATTTGCATTTGAACTATAAAAAAAATGAAAGTAACACTTTATTTTGCGCATAAAAAGGGGAGAAAATAGTCTGTAGTCAAAATAATTAATAGAACAACACCATTGAAATGAAGCCTTGATTGTTAAAGTACTATCTCTAAAATTAAGAATTTTTGGCGATTGGTTGTTTTACCCCACATCTCCTTTAAACGTATTTTACAGTAACTGGTTTGGACATTTTTCTCTAAACCCAATCACCTTAGACTTCAAATCAACACAATGAATAAATTAAAAAAAAACCAAACAGATTAGTCTCCACGTTATGTTGCTATTGATGAATTTTTAATGACAGAAATTGAATGTCTTTCGCTAAAACGCGACCAGGGCTCCATCGAGGTTCGTGTGTACACTGAAAATGGCCTAGTTATGCCACTGCTGTTTTTATGGTTTTTCTTTAGGATTATTTGCAGAAACTTTAATTTGATTTCAGAAATGTTTCTAAATAAAAATCATTTTTTACATTCCAATTAAATCTATAAAACGTTTATGTATTCCTTACAGGACGAGCCAAATCAGAGAATGAAGATAAACTTGTGGATCCGATTGGTATGTTCTAACTAAAAATATATTAAGATAAGACATGAAATTAGCAATTTGGAGAAAATGTTGGCAAATAATGATTAACGGTTGAACGATTAAAGATCTGTGGTAAAATTAACTTAAGTTCATGATTTTTCACTTATTTCCACGATAATAATAAGTCATATCCAACAATATTATATATTTTTTGTCCAGCTGACTATAGCAGAAGACAAAGTTTTTCGTTCTGTGTATTTGTCTATGCCTTTCTTGTTTCTTTTGGATTTTGTCTGATAACTTTTTTTCGTCGGTCATGTGTTTTTCGTGGATTAAAAAATTCCGATCTACACTCGAAACGGGTTTTGAATGTCATCATTCGGAATATACATAATTATAGGAAACCCAATCTGGAATATCAAAGATGTTTAGAATAAATCTACACTTGATAAGTTTTATTTATCTTTGATCTCGATAAAAGAATAATTTCATTTTTTCATTTGTTCATTTGCAGGATAACAAAATCAAAATTATATATGGTTGACGTCAAAAAATAACAACCAAACGACAAAAACTATCCAAAAGACATACATGTTTCTTTTCTTTCCATCAAATGACGTAATACATAACGAGAATACTGCGCAAATATGTTTCGATATGCAAGCCGTAAGTGGAATATTGCATAATACTGGATTTTTAATTACTCTCAAAAACATATGACATCGTTCCTGTCATTATTTGCTAAGATACGTGATTTAATGGTCTTAAAGTCAATGGTGCATAAAAAGCAAAAATGATTGCTTATCTCATTTGTTTTAAAATAAATAGATTGAAACTGGATATTCATTAAAAATTAAAGAAATTTAATATTTTCCATTTCACATTGACATTAAAAAAAACGGTCTCTACTTAAAGTTTTTCAGTTTTATACTTTAAAAATCATTTTTCTAATTTACAAGCAATAAAGATAAGAAAAATTATAGAGCAAATAATCAAGCAATGCTCATAAATGATGAACTAGTGATGATACTTAGAAGAATTTCTCCGTCTAAATATTATTTCAAATAAAACAAAAGACGCAGTAGGAGCATAAAGTGTTACCCACGTCCGTACTGTTGTCATACCACCATTCTGAAATCTAACAGTTGTCCGATTCGAGTTCACGTTCTGTCTCAGAAGGCATACTTTTTACATTGAATAACAGACATTGGACTTTCCAGACTTGACCTCTCCAATCATGTGGTCCCTTCATATCCTCCCTTTTTTTTCTTTCAGAGATCGGAAATACAGTAGCTTTGAGGTATTTTAAAATGAAATATCAAACTACTAAGTGTAAATAATTGATATAAATATGAATGTGTATAATATTCATACGTCATTTTAGAAATGGAACGACTGTTTGTTGCAATGGAGGCCATCTGAGTTTAATAATACAGAATATATTGCTGTGCCAATATCAAGGATTTGGACACCAGATTTGACCCTTTATGACAGGTATGACGACATGCCTATTATAAGCTGATGTCTTTGATGAGTATTAAATAATGGTATTTTTGTAAATTTTTAAGACATTTTACCTTTCACTTTTATGATTACCATTCATTATAAATAAGTAGATGTGGTATGAGTGCCAATGAGACAACTCTCAATCCAAGTCACAATGTGTAAAAAGTAAACAGTTAAAGGTCAAAGTACGGCCTTCAACACGGAGTCTTGGCTCACACCGAACAACCAGCTGTAAAGGGCCACAAAATGACTAGTGTAAAACAATTCAAACAGGAAAAACCAACTGTCTAATCTATATAAAAACAAGAAACGATAAACACGTATGAACCACACCAACAAACGACAACCACTGAACAACAGGCTCCTGACTTAGGACAGGCGCACACAAATGCAGCGGGTTTAAACGTTTTAACATGCCTGTATAAGGTTGAAACAGCTAGTGCTTAGTTCAGTAAGATAGAAAAAAGTAAAATAACAAAAAATACCGAACTCCAAGGGAAATTCAAAACGGAAAATCCCTTATCAAATGGCAAAATCAAAAGCCCAAACGAATGGACTTGGTACAGGCATTTTCTTATGTAGAAAATGGTGGATTAAACCTAGTTTTATAGCTAGCTAAACCTCTCACTTGTATGACAGTCGGATAAAATTCCATAATATTGACAACAATGTGTGAGCAAAACATTGCAAGTATTAAGGATAAAAAAAGAGAGAAGAAGGTAGATTTCTTAAAATTTATTTTTTTTAATTACGACAAAATAAACATAACCAAAAGACTGCTTTGTCACCTTTTCTGTCTTTCATTCTCATTATTTAAGCATAAAGGTCAGACTTTGAACGTCAACGAAAGATATGTTTATAAAACACTGTTGTTAAAACATACTTGTAAAGAAATGAAGAATGTGTCTCTGGGCCACAGATGCCCCGCTTGTAAATATGCATGAGTCAACTTCCACATAAAGATGCAGAATTCACGTAGTTAAGACTGTTTTGTGATTATAATCATTGTGTATAAGTTTCATAACATTTGGTTGAGGCAAACTAAAGTTAGAGAACGGAAACGAAAAATTCACCAATTTGTATGTTTATAAAGGGGCATAACTCGTGAACGGTAAAAGTGACGCCACCCAATTTCGAACTTGATCTGTGATTTGTGGTAATAAGCATTGTGTATGAGTTGTATAAAATTTGGTTGAGGTAAACTAAAGTTAGAGAACGGAAACGAAAAATTCAGCAATTTCTATGTTTATAAAGGGGCAAAACTCATGAACGGCAAAAGTGACGCCACAATTTTGAACTTGATCTGTGTTTTGTAGTAATAAGCATTGTGTATAAGTTTTATAACATTTGGTTGAGGCAAACTAAAGTTAGAGAATGGAAACCAATTTTTGGGACTTGCGGACGGACGGGACGGGAGGGGACGGGACGGACAAGGATAACACTTAATGCCCCCTCTGCTACGACGGGGGCATAAAATGTATTCATATAAGAACTATAATAGGTTCATCCTGGTGTGGTCTATTGTGATAAGTTCGTTTTACTAAAAAGACAAAAAAAAACGCAAAACCTCCTCAGATCATCTGATCATTCACAGAAATAGTCAATGCAAACTTGAAAGTAACACAATAATAACCTTTAGAAAATTCAATTAGACTAGAAATCCAAACAATAGTGCAGTAGGTTTGTAAATCATACCACATCTCCTTATTGTTATATATTCGGGCAAAAATAACAGGTATTTTTTATATTGCGAAAGAGATGTCTGCTTAGAAGTGATCTGCTAGTAGTGTTGGCTTATGAATGATGATATTCATATTTAATAAACTACACTCTTTCAATTTGTAGCATACAGCTAACTGTAGTAGGCACTTATGTCCGTCTTCGGCTGCAAACTTCGCAATACACCTATAAAACATACGAAAATAAAGTAATGAATTTTCTTTCTTTTTGTAGTCTCACCACAGAAATGTATGGGATGGATAAGTACAGAGCACTAGTTTACTCAGATGGTTCAATTCATTATAATTTCCCTACTCTTGTTGAAGTGATTTGTCAGATTGACGTAACTAGCTTTCCGTTTGACACTCAAATTTGTTCTTTAATATTCGGTTCATGGGTGTATCATGGGCTCCAAGTAGACATACAACCAAGGAAGAGTCCGATTGATTTATCATCTATGAAATCGAATGTGGAATGGCTTATCCCAAAGATTGAAGTTGAAAGGCATGTGGTTACATATGGATGCTGTCCGGAACCTTATCCAGATGTAACATTTAATATTCATATAGAACGTAAACCAGCATATTATGTAACAAATATTATAATACCATCTATCATGATCACGTCAATAGGTGTCCTGTGCTTTTTCCTCCCCGTGGAATCCGGAGAAAAGGCATCGTTAGTAATCATGATCACACTTGCAATGTCAGTATTTCAGTTACTTGTTGCAGATAAGCTTCCACCATCAGCCGAAGCAACACCCTGGATAAGTAAGTATTCTAATTTTGAAACTAAACTCCAATCATGATAGTAAAAGAGAGGCGAACGATACCAAAGGGACATTCAAACTCATAAGTCGAAAATAAACTGACAACGTCATGGCTAAAAAAGAAAAAGACAAACAGACAAACAAATGTACACAAAACACAACATAGAAAACCAAAGACTGAACAACACGAACTCCACCAAAAACTGGGGTTGATCTCAGGTGCTCGCGAAGAGTAAGCAGATCCTGCTCCACATGTGGCACATATAAAACACATAAAAATAAGATGTGGTATGATTGCCAATGAGACAACTATCCACCAAAGTTCAAATGAAATGGATGTAAGCAATTTTAGGAAACGGTACGGACTTCAACAATGAGAAAAACCCATACAGTATAGTCTAGTCGGCTATAAAAGGCGTGAAAAATATGAAACAATTAAGAAAACTAACGGCGTTATTTATGACAAAACAATTTACGAAAATCAAATATGACGGACATGAACCAACCACTGAACATATGTTCCAATTAGAAAAAGAAGAAAATTATATACGTACGAAATTGTGTAAAGTTTATTTATTTACGTTTATATAAATACCAAAACAAAGTTTTTACAGTGTGATTACACCCCCCCCCCCCCCTTTTCCTTTTTTTTGCTTCTGTTTTTCACATGATGTATGAGGAGATAGATTGGGAAGGTGTATGGGGTATCATTTACTAGTAATATTCTGTCCATTCTGGGGACTATATTCGTAGACAACAAAAAAATCGTATGGTGATTCTTGGGTCAGTATTGGGATGTCAAAGATACACGTTCACGTCTACTTTAGTATGGGGACAAAACCATACGCATTCACGACGGCTTAGTTTTGTTTTCATTCATATAAATGAATATCATTACTACATAAATACATCTTTTTATTCATTATTAATCCTAAATTATGTGGAAAAAAAGCTCAAATTGCTCGGATTTCGTTGACTGCGGTTGCAAAACTGTGGATTTGGAGAGGAAAAATAAAATGTTCAGTTTTCAAACAATTTTCATTCTCTTTGAAAGATACTATTTTTTCAAATATTCATTGTTAAATCTCACATAGATATTAATCTATATATTTTAAGTAAATGACAAACAACATCTCATTCAACATTGTCTTTATAATTTAGGATGGTTATATTTATGAATTTACTCATATTTTTGGTCTTTTCCTAACTAAGATCTTAGCTTGCACCTTTAAAAAAAATCAATTTCTAATTACTTTACATCACATTTCAGTGTTCTTTTTCAACTTTATACTTGGCATGTCTGCTATAACCACTACGATACAGGTAGTTGTCATCAATATTTACTACCGCGGAGAAAAACAGATCCCAGAATGGATTAAAAAGGGAATCATTGTACCACTATGCCTAATGATGTTTGTTAAAATTCCTGGCAATCCTTCATCAACATGTTGTAATGAGGTATTTTTGTTTACAGGCCGTTTTAATCGTTGTAAGATTTGACTTGAAATGTTGTTTCTTAATAACACCTGTATCTTTAACCGCTTCATTGTATATTAAATGTTTGAAATAGTTTTCACAGAAAAACATCATACCAGGAGATGCAAAACCGCTCCTAGAAAAGATAAATAAGAAGATGTGGTATGAGTGCCAATGAGACAACTATCCATCCAAGTCACAATGTGTAAAAAGTAAAGAATTATAGGTCAAAGTAGGGCATTCAACACGGATCCTTGGCTCACACCGAAAAGCAAGCTATAAAGGGCCCCAAAAAGACTAGTGGAAAAGAATTCAAACAGGAAAAACCAACTGTCTAATCTATATAAAAACGAGAAACGATAAACACTTATGAACCACACCAACAAACGACAACCACTGAACAACAGGCTCCTGACTTAGGACAGGTGCATTACAATGCAGGCGGTTTTAAACGTTTTTGTTGTTAGGAGTACAGAAACATTTTTTACAAAATAAATTTGTTGTTCGTAGTACGAGTACAGAAGTGAAACTTTATCGTCATACTAAATAATTATCAAAGGTGGTACATATTAAAAATAGTAAGACGAGATATAACACAAAATAAGTAAACATTTAATATGTATTACAAATTGTGTCAACAGGTCAAATTAACACGAAAGTACGATTTGAGATCAACTTAATATCACTTTGCGTGGTACAAAATGTATAAATGATACTTTTCTGGCATCTGCACCAAATATTTAAAATGTCCTGAAGCGGTTCTTTTAGAAAAAAAGTATTAGTGATAAATCATTGATTTTTGGTATATAGGTGTACTAGCATCCATGCATTTGAACTACAATATGTAAAAGCTCATGTCATGCTTCGTTGACTTTAATTGACTGTTTGTTGTTCCCTTAACAACCGCTGTCAAACATTTCTGTATAAACAGGATAACCTGTGACTAAAACAATTTCCAATTGATTGTTTAAATGTAGTGAAGGAGTGTATCCGATAGGCTAATGTCTAATATATACTGTTGCACAGCACCTATACTTCATTTCCAAGCAGACTAAGGATCGGCTTCCTTTACTCTTTCTATGATTTTCAGATTATGGTTTTTTAAATGAAGGTATACTCATAAAAGTTAGAAGACGTATGACCTATTTAGATTGTAAGCAGAAAGACTGACTACACCATCACAAGAAGAAGAAGAAACATATGTGCTAACAACAATAAAAAAAACAAAAACAACACGAACAAAACACAAAGACTATATTACCAAGATGGATCAGCGGCTTGTGCTTCACCAGCGACACACGTCACATTGATGAGATAAGATCCTTCAAGTCATTGTTGTTGATTAGGCTTCATTCGATACAAGATTAGTAGTCTCTTGTTTAACCATAAGACAGTATCAAATTGACGTCCCATCAATAAATGTAAATCTCTAAACCATGTGACCAAATATGAACGTTTGAAATACAAGAACGGACAGTGTTTATGGACAAAGAATAAACAAGACCATAAACACATCATCGAAAAATAAAAACTAATTAAACAGAAACTACTACACTGTTTTTGAAATAATTACATATATTACTTCATCTGCACAAAATATATTAGTTTCGATATTATTCAACTTTGACTATTTTTCTACTTTCAGGAGAACGTTTGGGATTTAGTCAAGGACGTCGAAGAAAGTACAAACACTGAACTCTGGAAGTGTTTATCTGTAGTTATTGACAGACTTGGAATATTAATATTTTCTATCACCTTAATTTCTGGATGCTTTATTGTATATTCAGTCAAATAAATGTCTACACTGTCGACACACCTGGTCTCTCTGCTTTTGGAGTACATGTGATTCCCTCAGTTGCTATTTGTAAACTTAATTTGTTATCTTAATGGTTTGATGAGATTTTAAAATCAGTCAACTACTATTGCCTTAATTTACAATATAAGTGAGATGATACAAATTAATTCATATAAGTAAATTTGGTTTAATAATAATGTACCGCTCATTCAGAACATGTTTGTACAGGGGTTTTTTTTTTTTTTATTTTTAAAAGAACTTAAATTCTAATTGAATCTGAAATATTTTTCAACATTTGTAAAAAAGAGTAAAAAATAAAAGTATGTTTAATTTTCTTTTCTCGTCTGCAGTTATCAAACACAAGTTTTTAATACTTCCGACGTTAATTTGCTTGAAAAAAATGTTTAAAAACATGTCAAACTTTTTAATATAAGAAAAGTTTTATTCCGAACTTATTCACTAGAAGAATATTGTCATTGATCTAATTTTCCTCTGATTTCTATGTGTCGATGATGCTTGATCTTGACGTTTCGCCGTTTTGAGCTTTTTTATTTTTTAACACCTTCTTCACTGCTGTCAACAAATAACCATATTCTCCAAAAATATGCGATGTTAATTCCATACTGTTTAAACAATAATATCCAATTAAAATTAACATTTGTCAGTCAAGAATTCATATCAAAAGAACTTTGCAATTTAAAACTTTTTTCAAAAATACGAGAATAAATAACATTCCCACAAGATTCACCAAAGACGGAATAAGGGCTCTGGCAAAACCAATATCTTACACATCTGATCCATCATCATTTATTGTACTAGTTTCAATCTGGTTTTCGTAGCTCTTATTCAACTGATGCTTGTCTTATCCATCTATTTTTTCATATTAATATACAAACATCTGCTATCCGCTCTTTGGCCGGGTTGTTGTCTCTTTGACATATTCCCCATTTCCATTCTCAATTTTATCAAAACGTTTATTTACTGGGTAAAAATAGTCTTACAAAAACCATTTGACACAGTCAACCGTTAAATGTTACACAGCTACTTTTGCATAGGTACTATTTCTGTACCAAAAATCTGTAGTACTGGAAATCTACTTTTAATATTCAGTACTATTTTGTTACTTTAAAATTGTTGTAATATTCAGGCACTGGTATTTTACAGTACTTGATTTGTACTTAAAAATTTAAGTACTACAGATTTTTGGTTACACCATTACATTTTTAGCATTTAGAAAGTTTGTCTATTTCAAATCTCTTAAAGTTATGATTTTCAAACACGGAACATTGTGATCACTGTTGGTATTATTTCTGTACCAAAAATTTTAAGTACAAATCAAGTACTGTAAAATACAGGTACCTAAATATTACAATAACTTTAAAGTAAAGAAATAGTACTAAATATCAAAAGTAAATTTCAAGTACTACAGATTTTAAGTACAGAAATAGTACCTATGCAAAAGTAGCAGTGTATGCCAAAAAAAATAAAATCGTTGGGTATGACAGATTTCAAGAGAATTGAGTCCTATCTATCTGGACTGAAACAACTGGTAAATGTAAATGAGACGGAATCTTAACTTATTAATAATAATTGTGGTGTACCTCAGGGAAGAAGTTTGGGTCCTTTTTATTCTATTTTACGTCAACGACATTCCTGCAAGTATCTATTCTGACTGCAAACTCTTGCTTTTTGCCGACGATAGCACTATGATATTTTCTCATAAGCATAATGACCTAGAAATTATCTGGAGGAAGTTGGGAAAGAAATTAGAGTCTTGAAGCAACTGGCTGGATGACAGTAAACTATCTTTACAACTGGGCAAAACAGAATGTTGTATCTGTGTTCCGAAACGTAAACGAAAGAAAGTAACACATTTTCAAATAAAATGTTATGATCATATAACTAAATCACAGCCTAAACCTTAAAAAAAAATCGGATTAGACATAGAATAAAACTTGTCAGGTGAAAGTACAGTAAACCCAATTATCAAAAAGGTAATTTCTAGATTGTAAAACAAGCTGTTTGTCAACTAAAACCCGCAAAACTCTTCCTACTGCTGTAATTTAGTTTCACTTTGAATATTCCTTGTTCCTCTTGGTATGCCGGAGTATCACAAACTCTAAAACACAAACTTAAAATTGTCCAAAACCAAATTATTAGATTCATATAGAATCTTGGTACAAGTTCTAGTGTCCGCGAACAGGGCTATCAATTGTTGGTATTTTAGGCATTGAAAATATAGTGGAGCAATTAAGATTAGGACACGAATATAAGATTTATAACAACAGATGTCCCGCATATCTAAAAGAAAATTTTAGAAAAGTCAAAGAACAACACGAATATAATAAAATTGAGAATGAAAACGGTGAATGTGTCAAGAGACAACAACTTGACCAAAGAGCAGAAAACAGCTCAAGGCCACCAATGAGTCAACACAGCGAGAAAATCCCGCACCCAGAGGCGGACTTTAGCTGGCCCCTTAAAAAAAATGTATACTGGTTAAGAGAAAATGGACGTCACACTAAACTCCGAAAACATATAATATTATATTTAATTGAATCAAAATTATAAAAAAAACTATACAAGACTTACAAAATCCAGAGGTTCCTGACTTGGGACAGGCGCAACAATGCGGCGTTTTTAAGCATGTTTTGAGAGACCTCAACCCTCCCCCTATACCTCTAGCCAATGTAGAATAACAAACACACAGCAATACGCACAGTAAAACTCAGTTTAAAAGAAGTCCGAATCCGATGTTAGAATAGGCAACAGAAGAACCTAAGCAAAATGACAATGATCAACATAAATTAACAAAGGACTACTAGCAGTTACTGACATGCCAGCTCCAGACCTCAATTAAACTGATTGGAAGATTATGTCTTTATCATATGAAAATAAAGCACCATCCCTCCTGTTAGGATTTTAGTATCATACCATTATAAAATATACAAGAGAAGAACATAACCCGTATCATGCCAACAACTGGTTTTAGAATTGATGTTTTTATTACATTTTTGTTCCTTCTTGTTGATATTGGCTTTGAACTATCTCTCAGATACTAGTGTTTTGATTACTCCCAGATCACTAGCCTTTAGTGTTTTTGTATTCTTATCGATATGACGAGTAGAGCCATTTTCAACTATTTTTTTTAGTTTGTTTGATGTTGTTCTGTTACACCAGTGTCCCATGTTAGTAGAGGTTTATGAGCCCTCAAACATGTCTTAACCCTCCACATTCTGTATGTGCCTGTCCCAAATTATAAGCCTATAATTCAGTGGTTGTCGTTTGTTGCTGAATATCATATTTGTGTTTCATTTCTATTTATTTTTTTTACATACATTAGGCCATTGGTTTCCTCGTTTGAACTGTTTAACTTTTTTTATCATATCAGAACTACCAACAGTACACAAAACACAACATAGAAAACTAAAGACTGAGCAACACGAGGGGGGTATATATTTGTCTCTTTGATAATCAAATAACATCTCCTAATTTTATTTAGAGCACAGTGTGAATTATTTTTAAATCAATTGTTTAGTTTTGTTCTATAGATTTGTGCATTTAGATGGGTCATTTAACTTGATGGATATCACATTAAAAATTGTCGGATCGAATGATAAGGGAAAACATGTTCTGGACCATGTGAATGGATGGTAAAAAGCTAAAGAGATACACAAACAAGCAGTGCTTAAACTTTATTACATATAAATATAAAAAATATTCAATCTAAAAGTTAAAAAAAAGTACAGAATGAAAGTAAAACGTACTTATTGAAATAGAAAAAGTTAAAAAAAAATATGTTGTAATCATCAGTGGCCTTAAAAACCCCTCCCTATCAACTTCAAAATAAATATGAAAGTTTAAATAGAAATGGTAGCTCATACAGGTAAACAATTTCAATCAAGCAAAACTCTGTCTTGTGCACTTGCAGAATGATTTTGGACAATAACCTCGTTTGCAGTTGTTGGTACACCATTCATTGAATCCTCTTTGGTTTTCGTATATTCCTATTGAGTGGCATGTCAATGGATAACATCTACATAATTTGGATGGACAGTATCCATTGTTACATTTACGTGTACACCATATGTTTTTACGTTGCCTGTGTCTTCCAAAAGAACCTATGTATCGGCAACTCTTGAACTGTGAAACAGTTGTTGATGAATATGACTCAGTAGTTGCTGGTGTTGTGGCGGTTGTAATTCTAGTGCGGAAACTTGGTGTTGTTCTTTGATCTAAAACAATGAATACTTATTTCATATTTCTCGATTATTTTTCGGGATTTTTTATTTTCAAACAAAACTTAAAATTGAGAATAGAAATGGGGAATCTGTCAAAGAGACAACAACCCGACCATAGAGCAGACAACAGCGGAAGGCCACCAATAAGTCTTCAATGCAGCGAGAAACTCCCGCACCGGAGGCGTCCTTCAGCTGGCCCCTAAACAAATAAGTTTAAAAAACAAATATGTTCTAAAAAAAATTCAATTAAATATTCCAAACATCTTAAGAATGAAAATTTCAGTTATATGATGTATAATTGATTTCATGTAGTATGATAATGCCGACATTCTGTGTTTGAATTTTACTTTCCGATTCAAAATGTTAGTTATATATTTATTTTTTATATAAGAAATGGAAGCTCTTTTTTTATAAGAAATTAAGGCTCTGTTTTTATAAGAAACGAAGGCTCTGTTTTTTAAACGAAATGAAAGCAAGAGACAAATATATATTTTTTACCATGAAGCACTTGCTTTCATTTCGAATACATTTTGAAAAACAGCATCCAATTCTATATCAAATATTTTAAATCGAAAAGGTATCTAAATTATGATTAAAGTTGTTTTGTTGCAAGTCAACATTGTAGTCGTTTACTGCGAGGAAAAATGCTCAAAAAATATCACGCAAATATTTTCTTTTTTGTTTATTTATATTTTACAAATAATAGTATTTATTATTCCTGTGTAAAAGGAATTTGAAAGAAAAAAATAAGAAAGTTTCATAACAAGCATCTTAATTTTACACAAACTGTCATTCTTATTAGTTTACTTTTCTCATTTTCTTGCACTCAACTCGATTTTAAAGAAATTGTTTTCATCAAGCCTTGTGATGCATATTCTGAAAGCTTCTCTTACCTTGACAATGCTTTCCAGTATATCCGTGGTAACATAGACAGGTACTTCCGACATCATTTGTAACGCACGTACCTCCATTAAAACAAGGGTATTCTGGACATCCAAAATTACCTGCAAATCAAAATATTAACGAGCTTTTGTTAAGTTATAGGCAATAGTAATTTACCAATACTCAAATATAATAAACAAGATACAAATCAGAGTAAATTTTCCCTTTCCAACTGTTTTAATTTGAGCGCCACTAATGCGTCTTGTGTAGACTAAATGTGTTATCATCGGTTTTAATGATGTACTTAGGTGAAATTAAAAAAAAAAAAGAATTGAAAATTGATACTAGAAGTAAGAAGAGCATTAGTTAAGGAACAAAATAAGCTAAAAATATTGATAGGTTATGGAGCTCCTTTTCGAGATATTTGATTTTTTTTAAATGGCGGGAAAAAGGCTGAATAAATAAAGGCAACAGTAGTATACCGCTGTTCGAAACTCATAAATCGATAGAGATAAAAACAAATCCGGGTTACAAACTAACTGACTCGGACTTTTACCTTATATTTGCATTGGTATAAGTTGGGTCTCAAATCGAAAGAAAAGAAATCTCGAATCTACTTAAATTTTGGTAAATGACCTTTTATGAGCTATTGAAGTCTTATATGAAAAGACATAAAAGGTGTTATGGGGCAAAATATTTTACCGTGTATCGTAGGAAAAAACCACGGAGTGCGGAAATTTGACAAAAATTCCTAAACCTGACCTAAGTACATTCTTAAGACCTATTAGCATCAACAATATATATATAAAACATGTTCCTTACCCATTCCACATCTTCTGCCGAATAAATTACTTGGACAAATACAGCAATATCCATCAAGCTGCTGAACGCATGTTCCCCCAAAATAGCATGGTGAACTCTGACAGTCGTTTTCTAATACAACAATGCATAAATAACATCATTATGTGTATATATCATTTGTACATAAGCTATAACGGTGTTACTGTTCTTGTAGTATAAAATTTAACTAAATCATTAACAAATTTATCCTCGCCAGTTTCATGTTGAAGCAAGAATATCAGATAGTTTAACATAAAAAAGCACATTTTCTTTGCAAAGTAGAACACTACTCGTTATCCAGTAAAATGACGTTCAAGGCAATCTTGAGTTTTCTTTTCAAATGCAAATTAACTAAAAGTCATGACAGATTTTCTTCTGAAAAAGGTTAATCAACACCATTATACAGAATACTTTTAATATAATCCTTTAAGAATAGTTAGATTATATGCAATGATTTCTTACATCCATTAAGATGGACCAGCTTTGATAAATTAAATAGTTTACTTTTTTAAATTTACTCTATATGTTGTATATTTGAAATAGAAATCTTTACAATTTCTGATATATAAAATTGAAAGTAGTTATCTCAATAAAGCAAACATACTACAAATTATCTAAAATGTACGAAATTAAGTATTATTTTTTTATTGAACTATTCAGAGAGAACCATCTCTTTCATTACCTTTTTGTCAAAATTAGGGGAGTTAAAAATATTTGTTAACGGAAAGCAAAGCTTCTTTTACATTGCGTTTTTAATAAATGGTTTAAAATAATGTTACTGAAATGATGTGTGTATGTCATGTACAACTGATACGTACGTCGTTTTGTTTCTGCCGTAGTTGTGTCTGGCGTCGGTTCAAGTTCAGGTTCTGATGCAGTTGATTCAATAATTCCTACGAAAATACATACAATTTCAAGAATGCGATTTATGTCCGCTCACAAAACTTGAAATGTTTTTTTATCAGATATCTTCGCCTTTCAAATTCGTCAACTGGTCATACACATTTAGTTCATGGCAAACGATACAGAATATATCTTGATAATGTTATATACAAGAAAACCTACACCTTTAGTGCTTACTTTTCGATATATTTAAGTTTTATAAAGGAATGCATGAGTTAAAAAACAACTCTTTACGTTTCAAGACTTGACGGTTAAAAAACACATCTTTCAAATGATCATCCGTTTTATTTCGCAAAGTGTTCCTTGTATCATATGCATGTCATTCAAAGTTAAAATTGAACGATCAGAAATTATACACCTAATCGTTACAGTGGACTGTAAATATTTTTCCTTGCGAACTTTAAATGCATTTAGAAAAATATCTAGCATGTAAAAGCTATGCCATGACCGACATATAGCAATTGATTCCATTGAACAAATGCTAGGGATCCGTCATTTGGATTTTGCTAGGGTTTTTCATATGCGAGTAACAATTTTGTGTCATGAGTTGATCCATCATATTCTTTCTTTTCCAATACTGATGATTGTTTTCCTTACGATTTTAATAAACACTTTTATCTGTAATTATTTATTCTGAGAAATTCACCAGATTCGAAAACCGGTAACCTGTTTACTGTAATTCGTGATAGAAAAGTAACGAGTTGGCGTATGCGTACAACATTATGATCCAACATAATTCAACTCTCGTCAAATTTACAAAATCAATTTGGCGACAACAGTGTCATTTCCTACAATTTTTGGATGCATTATTATCTGCCTCTGTTACTGGGTCGTACACTCACCAGACTTTTAAGGGAAAATTATTAAAAGTTTGTTCTTTAAAAAAACTAAAAAGACCTCAGAATTTCAAAACATGTTACAATTTATAGCAGGTACATGGTGCTGAAAGTATTTCAATGTTCAACCACAAGATGTAACCGGCCTCTTGCATGCATTACAACTTCTCGCTTTCATCCAATGCTTATTCACCGCTACGCTCTTCTTTTTAATAAACATGTACACTGAATGCAAAAACATTAAATGTTAAATGCATATAGGGATGACCTAAAGCCTTAGATAACTAAGTGTTCTGTTCCATTTTCGTTCTCATATGTCCCTTTTAACTAAGTTGGCTTTGCATATCTTACCTGTTATAGGTAAATTATTGGAAAATGAAATGTAGGGATAATCTTTCCACATCAACGTAACCTTTTACATTCACCTTAGACTTGTAGTTTGGTTTATACAGCTAGGCAAATAAAACAAAAAAATCTAAATTTTCATTTTTGTCAGTTAAAGAAAACCTACCAGATAAAAGATCACAATTAAGTGCATTGTTTAAAGGTATGAAGGTCTGTCTCATATAATTATACATATATGAGTACCCTTTCTGGTCGCAAACAGTTTCTGCTTTGGCCAAAAAGCATGTAGTCCAGCTTGTTCCTAGCCTATCAAATAAAGAATCATAACACTGTTATGCATTTAAAGTTATTTATGAACTTGTGAATTTAGTTTTAGACTTTTAACATCTTGATAAATCCCAGACTCATGAAATTCTAAAATTTCTTTATAGTTTCATTTACCACTATCAGTAAATTGAGTTCGAGTGTTTTTTTAAAGATTTGGAATTATTCAAAATTTTGTTGTTATGCCTCTTTTGTTTTTTGTTAATAATGTAATTCTTTACGAATCTGATAGAGAGTCAAAGAATTAAATTTGTTCGGAGTGTCTCATTAGTTCGTCAAACAATTTTAGCAATTTAAAAAACAAACATTAAAAAACCTATGCTGAAATCTCAATGATACATCTGCATAATATAGTTTCAAAAACACTGTATTTGTAAATGCACGCAACTTTGTGATAAATGTGTCTTCAATCAGAGATCTTATCAAAACAAAAATACGAACTAAACTGTGAGTTACTTGTGAAACATTATTTCGGTACCTGCAAAATTCGACGGTGTGATTAAAGACGCTTTTCTCTCCCAAGATGTATGGTGTAAACTCTTCTGCTATTCTGTTCGTACAGTGTGCAGTAACATTAACCATTCCCAATCTCTGTATACATCCGATGCTGTTCAGTAGTGCTGTAGGAAAAATATCTTTTGATGTAGTTAAGTTTACAACACATTAAGTGTTAAATTAGTGTATAGTATAGAGATATAGTGTATTTTACAACCAATCATTGTGTTAAATTGTAATTCATAGATGTGTACCAATTTCGTGATTTTTTCAGAATGAATACGAAACCAACTTTTGGTTATGCAAATATATACCAAAAAAAAAAAAACGTTTTTCAATTTTAATATGAAACTTTGAGAAATCTAAAAAGTCTTTTCACATAACAAGCCTATTATACATCTTATTTATGAATTAAAAATCACAAATGACCTATGCTCAATATTTATTTAATGCATAATTTCCAAGATTTTTGTTCTTTAACATCCTCGAGCTTTTCACTTGAATTAGTGAATGTGCAATATATTGTAATTTTGATCAGTATATAGCAATGTCACTCGAGTTAAATCATAAAGCTTTTAACAGTGAAATGTAAAAAAATAATGCAGTATAAACGAATTAATTGTGTTCATGATGTTTTAATAAACATATGATGTCAATACCATTTCTATCTGTATTACAGAGGTATCTTGAACCGCTCAAAACAACATCTCTCAGTAGACGGATATCTTTAGAACAATAATCCAACTTTGTTCCTATGCACAAATAAACGCGTTCAAGACTCCTGTGGAATATAAAAAGTGTTCTTTCAAAATTTTGGATTATATTCTACAGGTTGCAACCTGAAAAATAGTGTTACTAAAACTGTATTCCAACTTGCACAAAATGATGAAAAGGAATATTATTTAACCCTAGAGGATAAAGAAAAAAGGAAAAGGAAATTGTTCTTGATTTGTTTATAACGTACGGTACAAATTTAAGTGCTTAAAATACATTCCCGGAAAAACCTAAATAATGTAAATCCGAGACGATAACATGAAGATGAAAATGTAACTTAACCAATAGCTTTTTAAAACGCAGGAACATTTGTTCACAGCCAACTTTGCCTGAAGACAGGAACAGATATTATAGCATTATTTATAACAAAGTTTCTAGGAGAACTTCTGCTAGGCGGAATAAATATACGCTGACATCCCAAGTCAGAAGCTTATTATTTGGTGGTTGTCGTTGGTTGCTCTCTGATTTATTTGTTCTTCGTTTTTCTGTTTCATCATGACTCAGGCTTTGAATTTCTTGTGTTTACACATTTTGTTATGTCGGGCCATTTATAGTTGACTAAACAGTATACGCGTTTACGTTGGAATTTGTCATTCCTATAGATATTTTTTCTACTTGATTAATGTATATGAAATGGATTCACGACATTTGAACATCGGTCAACTTCTGTTTTTGTTGTTTTATCCTTTTGATGATCCTCAGTTGTTTCGATAATGTATGAACAAAACGGAATACCAATTAAATAAACATAAATTATTTTTTTACAACATAATGCATTCTAGTAACCAAATTTTAAGATCCTTGGGACGTTAGTATTTTTGGCTTATTTCGCGTTTGCAAAACGCACCTGTTCCCCTTTCAGCCTGTTTTACACATCAAACTATTAATATCAAGGACAAACTGCGTTTATTGATGAAATTTTCAAAAATAACAACAAAGGGATTTTTTGAGTTCAGTAATATATAAATATACTCGCCCACAAAAGCTTTCAACATCGGTTATATTTGTAAAACTCGCAGTAACGAATCTCTGGATTGATTCAGTTCCTACTGTTTTAGAACATTGAAGAGCGCCCATGAAATCACATTTTCCTGGTACCTGTGTTATAGATTGTGTCACAGGAGAACTGATTGTAGGATTTGAAATAAATCCTATAAAGAAAAAGATATTCAGAGCATTTATGTTTATCTGATGGCTACATTTATTCCTATTAATATACATAATTATGTAAATTTTTTCAGGTAAAATATTTATCAATGATTTTTAAATACACTTTTCATGCTTTTTCGTTAAATAATGGCAAAATGATATGATAGGCTTGTAACTACATAAACATGAGTGTCTGCTTCACTTTTTAGAATGTTCTTACTAAGATCTTTTCCCAAATTGAGTTGATTGACAACTCAATACTATGAAAAATGATGTCTGATTTCCTGCTTTAAACATCGCATACGTATATTTATGTGTAACCACCATCAGATACAGCCAATACCAATCATTTATCATAGCTGATACGACATCCCTGAGCATAATCTTATTATCACTATTGCAGAAACTACTCCAGGAAAGTAGAAGAACCCGTAATAAAGATACTCCCGAGTTAATCTGATCTCGACATTGTGTCACTGAAGATCTATAATAAATAACACATGTACACTACTGTTCATCTGACAATATTTCTGGTTTCTTTGAAACTTGCTACTGATTATTTTCTTTGGAACCGTATAACAAATTGTGCATACATAGCTGGTGATTAATCCTATAGTCTATTTAGACGAATTCCGTTGGTGTTTATCCGATACGAAATTCGTTATTTTTATTTCCATAGAAACTGTGGTTTGATTGCCTTATGATACAACTATCCACCTTAACCCAAATGACGAGGATGTAAATATTTATAGGTCACTGTACGTCCTTTAAAAAAGAGCAAATTCCTTTTTGTATAGTAAGCTATAAATGGTCCCGGCATGACAAATTGCGAAATAATTCAAAAGAGAGAACCAACGGCCTGATTTATGAGACTATATGTGCATGCATGATGAGGAAGATCGTATATTGCCCTCTGAATGTGTTTTGCTTATTTGTGTTTTTGGGTTTCATTGCCGTATAGCCCACATCTTCCTTTGTTCTTTCATAATAAATTTTGTCACTGTAAGACATAAATTCCGCATGTCATTTTTTATTTCAAGTAAGGCAATATTTCAGAGTTTTAGTCGTCTAGTTCAAGCATTCACAGACCGTTGCCAGTAATTTGACGGGTGAACTTATTGCCTTTTACTTCCTCTAGCTCCAAATCTCACCTTACATATTATGTATTCGGATTATTAACGCTTCTCCAAGAAATGTGTCTCTATAAAAAGTGAGAGAAAAAACCTTTTGCTACAATGAAGATCTTTAATGAAACCTTTAGAACTGCTTAATCGTACAAACGTTCATATCCGTAAATTCTTAGGAGTATACTCACATTGAAAATATGAGTAACATGTTAGAATTGCAGAATTTGGGTAAGAACATTTGGAAATACATTATAAATGCAAACAAAAGCTTTTCGTCTGAGTGTTAAACATGAAACAAATAAAAATATTTAAAAAGGTAAAAATGCAAATTAATCTACAATTAAACTATCCGAAATCAATTACCAAAATATGTGCAGACTTTTTAGGACTAAGGTACAAAGTCAAAGAAAAACAATGACTCCACGACACATAAAAATAAAGGCTGTGCTCCATAACTAAACTACAAAATGGGGTTGAACTTATTTTCAAAAATTTCCCTTTTCGCCAATTTCATTGAAATATAATATATCTAAAGGGGACAAACACTAAATGGTATATATAAGAAATAGTGAGATATTTACCTATCGAAAGTAAGGCTTATAGAACCGTAGATATAAAAACTCTACAAGACTCACAGTGCTATTTGATCTTGATATGATTTGTACCTTATAAAAACATGTCACTGAGGATATTTTTATGTTGGTACCTTTATGTTAATATAACTGAATGGATAGAAGTCTGTTACACATTACATACTTTACAATAAATATATATATAGTTTTAGTCTTGTATTTAATACATGTAAATGAGTTGTTTTGCCCTTTACAATGATAACACCTGTATTGAAAAAATTACCTGCATTACAGTGAAGATTGTCTATAACTGATCTCAACGATTCATCAATAAACGACTGCATGTATATTAATGCATATTGATTACATTCTTTCTTTATAGGCTCAATCATACAGGATCTCCATGTCCTAAATAACCTACAAATAAAAATGAAATCTGATGCCGACTTCCTTCAATAATTCTTCATACAGTTTTTGGTCGCTCTTGCACTTTAAACGAAGTCTGTGAGAAAAGTATATACCTAGTATGCATGTGAAGTTCATATAAACTAATGATATAACTCGTTTAAGAGTTTTTTATTAGATCAATTCATTACTACAGATAAGCATTTTGAGTACATAATATTCATCAGTATCGATCGTTTAAGTCAAAACAGTTTGAAGCTGGCAATCAATTACCAAGTTGAAAAACATGGATGGATCTTTCTTTCCTTTTTATTTTAATCTTATATCTAAAAAACATCCCACTGAAGGGCTTTGATAATTGGATCATATTTTTACTTGCAACTGAGGGTATTGCATTTAAAATACATGTGTATAAAATACATATGAAAACATCGTTTATAACAAATAAATAAACAGTTTATGTAATCAAATTACGAAAATTAATTGTAAATTTCAGATTAAATCACTTTTATTGATTGTTGATATCTATATCATTTCTCTATACAGATAAAAACACGTACCCACATATTTCATCCCTACTTTCGACCAAAGAAACATTCTGTACATTCGGGAAATCCTGGATTAGATTCAATGTACACTGTTGCAAATCAGATAGAATTGTTGGATACGTAAAACAGTGCCTGTTATGTGTGAATCCTATAGATTATATAAAAATAAACAGATTGTGCTTTATTGGGTTACATACGCATGTAAAATTTTATAAGAGAATCTAGACATTATAATTGTATAATATGGCATTTTATCTTTTCAACATTTCAATTAGTTAGTTAAACCAATCATGTTAATCAATCCTATTTGATGCGTTTACTTTCAATAATACAAACAATATGCATATAAACAACAAATAAAACGTTCAAACAGGTTAAGCAATAAATGAACATAACACTTTATAAATTTCGTCCGTCCGAAGCGCTTAATATGTTCATAACCAGTCATGTGCTCAATCCTATTTGATGTTTTGCCTTTTTTGATATAAAATCTTTTCAAGACAACTAATGGCTTTTTCACATTTATCTTATCATATTTCACAAATGATGAGATTATTTTCAGTAATTTATTGATATAGATATTGCGAATCATATTAGTCTTTCTATTATTTATCATATTTGTTTTGTTTATTATTAATCGATTAAATATTGAAATTGATACCTTGCTTGCCTGTATTACAGATATATCTTGCAGAGGTGACGACAGTCGACAAAACAAGTTTAAGACCATCACTACAGTCTTGGAGTTTGGAATCAGTACAAAAATATATTTGATCCAGTACACTAATACAAAAAACATAAGTACATATTATATTTGATTTATAGGTCGAAGAAAACGCTTTTGATTCTAATAAGATTAATGGTAGCAATTCTACTGCGCCAGCATTTCGGCAATTAATGTCTCTTCGATGGTACTTGAAGCCAAAATATTTTAAAATCCAAAACCTAATACAAACTTTAAAGAGCTGATTAATCCAAAAAAGGACCAAAAGTGAAGCCAAATCAGGACAAGGAATAAAGCTATGCATAAGTAAGATACATTCCTTAATTTTATATAATTTACAAAATTTTATACCAGCAAATTAATAAACCTACTTAATGACACTTTATTGTCCGTACGAGTGTCGTTATGCATGTTATTGCAAGTAAATAAACCTGAAAAGTAATAATATGGAGCTAATCATGTGCTGGAGTTCGCTATTTTTGTTAATACTTTTTCTCTCAAGAAATCCTCAGGATTTTCATTTATATTTAATATGGCAATTAAGAAATTTTTGTACCGTGTATTTTAATTCACAAGTATTATGTACATGGTACTCATTTAGGATATGTATAAAATGATACGACTAATTAATTAATTATTTGACATTGAATTCCCATGTAAAATAATTTCATAATTTTAAAATTCGATAACAGGAGTGATAGCTTGCCCATAAACAAACCAATATTAGTATTGTTTTAACGCATAACATAATTGAAAAATAGATATAATAGTATTTTTGGTTTCTTTCAATGAACTGACTGACATAGTAAGTATATTAAAAGAGTTGTAATATTCATACCTGCATACATGATCAATATTTAAAGACGTAATAACCGACAATCTTCCTTTCAATAAATCTTGAACCCATGATTCTCCGACATTTGAGATACACTCATCTATCGCGGTGTTACAAACGGCTGGTTGCTGTGTTTGCTGTCCTGTATAATGAAAACAAAATATCGTAAACTGTCCTCACACAACGCCAATATTGGCAATGCTTTATGTTAACTGCTCAGTATGAATAGATCATAGATTTGTCTCAATTTCGACACACAATTCTTGATCTGCCACTTATACATGTGTGAAATTAGTGTATAACAGGACCATTTTATAAAGCATATAAATCTCGTAACGTTGCTAATGGACGTCAGAACTTGGTAATACGAACACAGACGTAACAAATCAAGTTGTGCAAACTTTCAAGCAGTTACAAGGGAAATAGTTATAGTATTTATAAAAGAACGTATAATCTTTTTACAGGGCAGAGATATAGGCAAATGCAAACTTTGGTAACTTTTCTATTACTAATGCGCTCTGAAAATAAAGTAACTCATATGATGCCATACCGAGGTAGTTGCATTTATAATATGATAAGATGCAATTCCAATAAGGTTAAAAGGGATAGTCAACGTTTCCATTTGCAAGGTTTGGTTGTATTTTGCTTTTATTTTTTCACATATAGGTTAAAAGTAGTACATACATTCTTTATCATTATATCTATTAATAAATGAAAGATTCAAATTAGAAAATGAAAGATTTATAAACCTCTGTTTTACAGAACAAACTAGCATTAGTTTGTGAAAGAGGGTCTTCAGAAATACTGTGAAACTGTTTACTCGCGTATTGGTATTAACCATATGTGGATTCTTAAAAATTCTAAAGAACTTCTGGATAATTTTAAATCTCGGTCTTTTTCTGAAATTAGTTCTATCAAAACTTTTTGATTTTTCAACCCTGTATACCACCATTCCCCATGTGAAATTGAAAAATCGCCTAAAAAAATAATCAACAATGCCTTTCAACATAAAAATGGTAGCATACGCTATAAATGTATTACTTTGGGATACCATAAGGCATATTTTGTTAATAGCGAACAAAAGAGTAAAACATGCTACACTGAGGAACAAGTGATCAGTATGCTGGAGTTTCTTATCGACAACATTTTTGTTGAATTTGGAGGTAGACTTTTTCAACAAATTGTCGGCATTCCTATGGGAACGAACTGTGCGCCTCTCCTTGCCGATCTCTTCTCATTTTCATATGAATCGGAGTTCCTTCAGACACTTGTCAAAAACAAGAAGATCAAAGAAGTCAGATTATTTAATTTCACTTTCAGATATATTGATGATGTTCTTTCCATTAACAATCCGAACTTTTCTGATTGGGTTACATTAATATATCCCCCAGAACTAGAAATTAAAGAAACAACAGACACGGCTTCCTCTGTCTCATTTTTAGACTTATACCTCGAATTTGACATACACAGTCATCTCAGTACCAGAATCTATGACAAATGAGACGATTTTAATTTTAAAATTATCAATTTCCCCCACCTTAGTAGCAATATACCAACTTCACCTGCATATGGGATATACATTTCCCAACTTATTCGGTATGCAAGAGCTTGCAGCTCATACTCAGACTTTGTAAAACGTCACCAGTGTCTGAGCAGAAAGTTGATGAACCAGGGATATGTCAAAGAACGTCTCGTCCCTTTTCTAAAAAAAGTTCATCGAAAGGTACCAAGACCTTGTTGATAAATATTCCGTATCAACTTCACAGATAATACATGATAGTCTTGAAGTATAGATTCTGCGTACTGACGCTGTTTATCATCTTAATAACGTGTTGGAGTGTTCTATTGTTTGTCTTTGTTAATGTTACTTTTGCTGTTTGGTCTGTTTTTGGTGATATACATTTGACGTGGCTCTGTACTTATGCATCCCGTCATTGTGTTGTTTGTATTATTTTTCATTTTCACTTGTGTGCTTTGTCCGTGTGACTTTTTATGTTTCTTTGATACATATGACGTGTCTCTGTACTTTAAACATCCTGCCATTGTGTTATTGTTCTATTATAATTTTTGCATACTTTGAACGACAAAATTATTTTATATCTCTACCTGTGTGACGTTTACATTCTGACGTCAAACACGCGATTCTACGCCAGAGTTAATGTTAAAATTACGATTCGGTCCCAGTGCTTAAAATACCTCGATACTTTATGGGTTGATTTGGCATACATAAATAAAATACAAAAATAAGTAAGCAATGAACGAGGTTGTTAAATGTGATATATGCTTTTTTGTGCTTCTTTGTTAAATATTTGTTTGTTTTTGTTGTGATTAAGATTGTGACACGGTGTTGCTGCTGTACCCCTATTCTGACATTTTTTAACTACTATTTCTGTTTGTTTTACTCACGCATCGTTGTCAATATAATGGAATTTGATGCAACTGTCATACAAGTGAGAGGTTTAGCGCTATAAAACCAGGTTCAATCCACCATTTTCTGCATAAGAAAATGCCTGTACCAAGTCAGGAATATGACAGTTGTTGTCCATTCGTTTGATGTGTTTGTGTTTTTGATTTTGCCATTTGATTAGGGACTTTCCGTTTTAAATTTTCCTCGGAGTTCAGTATTTTTGTAATTTAACTTTTTTTTGTAAGTTATCAAGTAGAAATTTCAGATTATTGCATTAACCACAAAGTTTGAAAAGTGAAATTGATAAAACATGTAATTACTTGAATATGTTATTGTGTTAGATGGTGTTGTTGATGATTGTATCCATGGTGGTAATGAGGAAATACAATCTTCATTGGGATAATAGTTGCAGTCATCACCCAGGCCTGCTAATGGTCCACATTCATTGTAAACAGCTGCAAAAATACAAAATACATAGGTCTTAACAATGTATCGGCTACTTAGTTTGAACTTAAAAGGATACACTATATTCGATAGTAGTTTTCTTCACATCTTTGTTTGATTGAAGAACAAAATGACCGGGTTAAGTATTTTTAGGTCAGACCACCAAAAATATAAAAAAAAATGGACAACTTTTCAGTCTTCTTAGACATGTTTCGATAACTACTCAGTCCAGCATATTTGGGATAAAGCACGTACAAATATTTTACTAATGAATTGTATTATCACGGTTGTAAAGTTGATGTATATTTTGTTTTGATGATTATTATTAGAAAAACGCTATTCTAAAATGATTTTTTAGACATTACTTAGATTCTGTGAAAATTTGTATGATCCTGATTTAAAGATAAAAAAAAGCAAAGTTGAAACAGTGCACCGTTTCTAGATTTGTCATTAGGTTTTGTATGTAAAAAAAGTTATGGAATAACAGCTCAGTATGGCATTTAAAAGATCTCATTCGTTTATACAGTGAATTAGTCAAATTTTAACAAATATTTGGATTTTGATATTGTATCGCAAACGTTCTCATCATCAAACTTTAATGTATAGTGATTGTATGGTTTTTCTATACTAGATAATAAGACGCACACCACCTATTCTTGGCCCTCATTCCTATCCAATTATTTTTTTTTACTTCCAAACATTTTACGGCGGGCGAGATCAATATACTGTTATTTATACACCGGACTGTACTGGTTACCGGAACTTTGGATACACCAAACCAGGTACTTCATAATTGAGAAACAGGCAATATGTGCCCTCATTTTTAGAATTCATTCATACATTTTTGTATTATTCAAAGTTATCAGTCAATATGTATTCTTCAAGGATCACCAACCATTCACCTTTCATTTGATACCTTAATAACTTAAATATATTCTATTTAATATACATAGTATTATATTTAAACCTATGTGTAGGAACGTTTTTGTTTAAAATATGTACTACTTTCCAGTATTTTCTTGTTTGACCTGGCCCGATTTGGTGGTGATACATCTTACAAAGTCTATCCGAATCATTTTGCAAAGAATTCCACTCAAACCGGTGCTAGGGGTGAAGTGAGAGGTTTTTTTTTTGCTCCGTGTTGAAGGCCTGGCTGTGACTTTGAGATGAAGGTCAGCAATAAAAGCGCTGTTCCTTTGCTTTTTGTTTGTTTTTTGCTGTGCATGTACTGATTTTGTTTCATGGATTGATCACCACATATCCTTTGTTTTTCTATTAGATCATTTGGTAGCAGAAATCATCAAAAGTATTATGCAAAGATGATCATAAAAGGGGTAAACTCGCATCTGTAGACGTCTGGTGTACAACAATAATAGCTTGGTATCTTTGATTGCCTATAGCCTTGATTGCTAAATGATCTAGGTCGCTAAACTCGGTGGATTTGCCACTTTGTCATACCAGAGTGAATGAGAATCCTGCTTAGGAAATGACAAAAATTGGCTACCGAAAGAATGCAGATATAACATTGTCAAAACTAAATAATTTAAGACGAGGAATATCTATATATATTACCTAAACAGAGTTCTTTACATGGAAGTTCTATCTTTCCATTTTCACACTTTGGAAAGAACGAAGAACAGTAGAATAGGGTGGCATTATCGGAACAACTCATATTCTCCTTAATGATGTAATTATTGAATGTGTCTAATGCAGCTTCTTGTGTGTACTGGGAGAAAAAGTTCGGAAATGTCGTCTTAGTTATACCAAATTGACGACAAACATCAGCCTGTACCTCTTCACACCGTCCTAAAATGAACAAAATGGTGTGTAAAGTTTTTTATCTGCGATGAATATGTTTTTATTCATGAAATTATTCTTAAGACGTCGGCTAATTCATTAATATATACTAAGACTTCTTCTTCTTCAGATGTGTGTACCAGAATACTTGAAATTAATTACATCCTGTTGAGGAGGTTGCAATAAATAAAAGATTTTGTCTAGGGTGGCCTATGTACTCAATAACGTAAAAGTATTACATACAAAATTGTGCTTAATTGGCGGATATTGCAAAATTCATTGGAGGTCTAACGAAGTCATGTTTCAAATTTAAATTAAAAATTTACATTATACACAACCTAAGGTTTAAACTCTTGTTGACCTTATATGAATTTGGCTATTCTTTTTATGTACCTTTTGGTTGTATATCTCTTTATCTTTTCAAGTCTTTTATAGCCCTGGCTTTCAAATTTTTGGGCTTTGAGTGTTCCTGATAAAGGTAAAGCCAGAAAAGCAAATCGGACACTCAAAATTATTTGAAGTTTTGTTTTCATTTACAATAAATGCAAAAAAATAATATCTCTTCTTCTTTTCAATTTGTTAACCCGTGCAGAATGTAACATATTATGAAGACAAAAGATGAAGAGGTACCAAGAAGTCTTGTAAACCATAAATTTAAGACAAATAGACCGTATTCAAAAGTCAAGAAAAGACAGATAACACAGTTGACACATGAGGAGCAGGATCTGCTTACCCTTTCGGAGCACCTGATATCACATCCACTTTTGGTGCGGTTAGTGTTGCTCAGTCTTTAGTTTTATATGTTGTGTTTTGTGTACTGTTGTTTGTTGGTCTTTTTCTTTTTTAGCCATGACGTTGTCAGTTTATTTTCGACTTATGAGTTTTAATGTCCCTTTGGTATAGTTCGCCTCTCTTTTGCCGAAAGAAAGAAGACGAAAAGGCAACTAGTTTTGATAATTTTTGACATGAATCGCTTCTAAGCGGCCATAATTGTATTATTATATACCGAACTAACAGTAAAAGGGCCTATCCAACCTTCGAAAATGCATGTTAAAGAAGCTCTTGTAAATGTCTAACTGTAGTAATGTGAAACAAAGGTAGACTCTCTTTGGAAAATATAAATAGCCTTGAAAAGGGCCGTTTGTGAAAGCTATTTTTGTCACCAGATGATTTCCAATACGTGTTCCTCGTACCTCGACGGACTTTTAACCTTGCCATTGCCATTTTGTTCGGATACGTCAGTGACGTCTTTTTGAAGAGATATAATCGAAAGGCCTAAAGGGTTACTCGGCGGTGCACATTTTTTTATTTTAGGGGTATTCGCCATTCCTTGTATTTGAATAAAAATTTACCCCATAAGTTCATATTGATCATTTATTGGTCTTCCTATAGTTGTATTGGTTCTCAGGACGTTTTTAGTGGATATTTTAAGTCACTGGTTAACAAGGGTGTAATAAAATGAATGTTTACATATTGATCATGTGTTATGTAGTCGTATAGGGTCATAAAATAGGACCAATTTTAAACATCCATTTAATAACGCTACATTATTACAAGTATTGTTATGGAAAATGTTAAATTATTAAAATATATTTGAAATTTTATTTGTTATGCCGACCGCAACTTCCCATGTATTCACAGTTTTTCTATACCAAGAAGCACAAATTGTTTCGCACTTGCATCATTTAAATTTTATAAAGTTGAGGCTTGAATAAAACAGTTCTGATAATTGTCTTTCAAATACTGTTCAATTTTCTCTACATATATTACAAAATTGTGTATTGTCTCAGAATATAAAATTGTATGTGTGCTAGGCGACTGTCATACAAGTGAGAGGTTTAGCGCTATAAAACCAGGTTCAATCCACCATTTTCTACATTTGAAAATGCCTGTACCAAGTCAGGAATATGACAGTTTTTGTCCATTCGTTTGATGTGTTTTATCATTTGATTTTGCCATTTGATTAGGGACTTTCCGTTTTGAATTTTCCTCGGTGTTCAGTATTTTTGTGATTTTACTTTTTTCTATCATGTTTCGAGGGAGATATAAATAAAATTTAAGTTTTGAGACAATGTATGCATGGATGTTATCTTTAAACTGTAACTTTTAAAGCTGTTCCAAATGAAATCAACAATTTTGAATTTGCAGTGGACGAAATAAGCTGTACTCTTAATGGATGACATAAATAAAGCTTATTATCAACGTCACAAACAAGGCTTCTATACGGTCCCTTCCTGTATAAAGCTAAAGTGTATAATGATAGTGCATGCGCAAATAGAACAGAGGCGGTATATAATGATGTATTACATATTAAGCTTTATTTTTCACTTATATTCAACCTACTTGGCGTTGATTTCGGTATCTCTGGTGTCGTTTCCGCCGGTGTTGTTACATCAGATGGTGATCCTGTAGTACTGTCTATAATTGTATCTAGAAATACAGTTAACTTGTATTTTATCTTTTTATTTGTATTTTCAATGTTATATAAAAATAATAAGATGTGGTATGATTGCCAATGAGACAACTCTCCACATTAGTTGTTAAAAAAATAAAGTGTGCTAACGGGTTTAAATTTGCTTTAATTGTAAAAAGTATAGCATGCGCAAGGGTACAATAGTTGGTTACCAATTCAAAATAAAATGTTACGATTTTGCTGTGTACGACTTGTTTTTTTATATACCTTCACAAAAGAAAACACTCTGCCATATAAATGGATAGAGGTAATATTCTCATTCCAAAGGTCTAAAACCGCATCCAAATTTTGGTAATGGACGTCCGAACTTGCACAGTGATGTAACAAATCAAGTTGCGAAAACTTGCAAGCAGTTATAAGGGAAATGGTCATAGCGTTTGTAAAAGATAGTAAATCTTTATAAAAGGCAGAGCCCGAGGCAAATGAAAGTCTTTGTTACATTTCTATAACTATTGCGTTCTATAATATGAAGTCATTCATATGATGCTATATCGACATTATTGCAGTTAGAATATGATCCGTGGTAATTACAAAAAGGTAAAAAGGGATAGTCATTAATTCCATTTACAAGGTTTGGCTTTTATTTTCTTTTATTTGTTATTCACATATTGGTTCAAACTACTATATGAATTCTTTTCAATCAAAAGAATTTATGAACAAAACAAAAAATTAAAAAAAATTATAAACCTCTGTTTGCAGAAGAAACTTACAATTGAAGTTTTCATGTTATCACGTAGAAAATTTCCGATATTTGCATTTCTAGTAGACACTCTATGTAACGTGAGGGTACCCAAATTACACCTTTTTTGACAGTTTTTCACCTACGTTTTTTACATGATCCTGACAGAAGTTTCCATTATGTGATTATTTGGTAGATATATCCTAATGTACTATATGGTTCTACAAATTTTATTTTGAATCCATATTGAATCATGGAAAAATGGGTTTGAACAGACCTCCAAACGATCCATGATTCTGTAATGAGGAGTACCCAATTGTATCCATGCTTAAATTAACATCCTTAAAAATCGAATAACGGATGTTTTGTTTTATTTGTTCAAATATTTATAACAATTTGGCATTAGTTTATGCTTACTATTCATTTTTTTAAGAAATGGATGCTTGTAACATATTTGATATGCTTTTTTTAAAAGATGACTTTTTGTGGATGTTGCATGACGACGTTTCCGTAGATTTTACTTTTTCCAGTGAATACTTCATCTGTTGATATATACTGTGAACGTTTTGTGTATATTTGAATATATTTACCTATGTTGAAAGACGTGCACAATGTCAAATCATAAAAATACAAATTGTTTGGTCTTTAAGAGAACTTGTAAGAATCCCGCTGCTATTTTTGCTAAAAAGGTGCAATTTGGGTAATGTGGCCTTACCTAAGGAATAGATTCCCTTACCTGTATTTAGCAAAACTTTTAGAAATTTTTGGTCCTCAATGCTCTTCAACTTCGTACTTTATTTGGCTTTTTAAACATTTTTAGATTCGAGCGTCGTCATTGATGAATCTTTTGTAGACGAAACGCGCGTCTGACGCAAATAAAAATATTAATCCTGGTATCTATGATGAGTTTATTTACAACCACTGGGTCGATGCCACTGCTGGTGGAGTTTTTATTCCCCGAGGGTATCACCAGCCCAGTAGTCAGCACTTCTCTGTTGACATGAATTATCATTGATATTGTCATAATCATGAATTAACTGTTTACAAAACTTTGAATTTTTGAAATACTAAGGTATTTCTACATCAGGAATAGATTCCCTTAGCTGTATTTGGCAAAACTTTTAGAAATTTTTTGTCCTCAATGCTCTTCAACTTCGTACTTTATTTGGCTTTTTAAACTTTTTTAGATTCGAGCGTCACTGATGAGTCTTTGGTAGACGAAACGCGCGTCTGGCGCAAATACAAAATTTCAATCCTGGTATCTATGATGAGTTTATTTACCCCTTTTACAAATGAATTAAAGAATGAGGTAAAGCAAAATCACCACTGTTAAAAAGGATAGAACCATAGAATTATTTTCTAAAACTTTTAAATGTACTATTTGAAAAAAAATACACTTGATCGAAACTCACATACAGAATGGGAAAAAAGAAAGTAAAATATTTTTCATATATAACTAATGAAATTACTTGAAAACGTATGTGTGTAAGATGGTGTTGTTAATGGTTGTTTCATTGATGGTAACGGGGAAATACAGTCTTCATTGGGATAGTAGCGGCAGTCGTCGACATCATTCAGAATTGATACCGTTCCACATTCGTTGTAAACAGCTGCAAAAATATAAAGATTTAAAGAATTTAACATCTACTAAGTTTGACCTAAAAATGATATACTATATTTGATAGTAGTTTTAATCACATATTGACTTGATTGATGAAATAATGGCCGGGTTAAGTACTCTAATCTCCAAAAATATGAAAAATTAAACAACTATTTAGCCTTCTTTTGCACAATAACTACTAAAAATTCTACATCTGATTTTGCACAGTTATAAAGTTATAAAGTTGTAGTATATCTTATTTTGATAATTATAGAATACTTAGTTTCTGTGAAAATTTGCATGATCCTGCTTTAAAGATAAAAAAACAAGGTTGAAACAATGCACTCTTTTCAATGAAAAGTTATACAGTAATTAAATAGCTCATTATGACATCTCAAAGATTTCATTCGTTTGTAGTTTGTACTGTAAATAAGTCAAGTTTTCCATTTTTGTAAATTCAATATTTGGAATTTATATACTTTATTACCTTAAGCTTTACAGCTCATCGGTTTAGACAAGAGATTAGAATTAATAATGTATCGTAAACGTTCGCATAATCAAAACCACATCAAACTTAAATGGATAACGATTGGGCCTTGCATGCTTTTGTAATCATTAATGATTTTGTATCTGAAAATATTCTGTAACTTGCAAAGATGATCATAAAAAGGTGGGAATTGGCTTTGTCTAACAAAGAAATTGACATTAGCCGTTACAATGACGCTGTTTTAGAAGACGTGTTACTTTTAAAGCCTTGTTTGCCAAGTGCGACGGTCGCTAAACTCAATGGATCTGCCACGATGTTCTATCAAAATGCATTCAAATCCCGCTGAGGAAATGACAAAAAATTGCTACATAGAATGCAGATGAAACATTGTTTAACTAATCAGACGAAGTATATATATATATTACCTAGACAGAGTTCTTTACACGGAAACTCTCTCTTTCCATTGTCACACTTTGGAAATAACGAAGAACAGTAGAATAAGATGGCATTATCGGAACAATTCATATTCCTTTTAAAGATGGGATTATTGAAAACTCTTAATGCTTCTTCTTGTGTATAACCGGAGAAAAAGTTAGGAAATGTGGTTTTTGTAATACCAAATTGACGACATACATCAGCCTTTACCTCTTCACACAAACCTAAAATGAAAAAAATAATGGTAAATGATAAATATATATATTCTACTTAAGGGGGTATCCAACACTTTTTCTAAAATAGATTTGGCTCGCTTAATTTTCATAAATTTTTTACAAAATATTTATTTTGACCTGTTGACAAAAATATAAATATTTCAAGAAATTTGAACCACACTATTTACAGGAATGATTTCACTGGATATATAGCAGTTTGTCAAACACTAATTTGATCACTGAGAAGCTTGATTTCTCTTGACTACTAATACGTGATTAAAACGTTCAGCTGATGTTTTAAAGAGTTATCTCGGTAATGTGTTCTGTACCCCACTTAAATTATTCGTATGGCGTATGCTTTTCTAATAATATATTAAGACGTCTGCTTCTTCAGATGTATGTATCATAATTCGAGAAATATCAATTTGAACCTGCCAAGAAGAAAACAATAAATAAAAGACGGTGTCTTGGAACGTCTATGTACTCAATAACGGAACACTAATGCATGCACAGTTTTCTTTAATTGTCATTTATATAAAGAAATATATGTGAGATCTTAGGAAGTAATTTTTCTAACTTAATTTAAACAAACTAAGTGGGAAATGTAGTGTCAAAATATTACCTTCCCTGCAAAGACAGGAAATTTGATCTTTTAGCTGCTTGCCCCGTTTAAGCAAGGACGCTTATAATCATAAATTCACAAGAAAACGTTCTGGTAAAAAGAAACAAAAAAATATATACTCTATATGAAGGTGCTGTGGAATTTTGCTTTATAGAAAACGAAAGTTCACAATTGGGAAGCTGAAATCATCTCTTGTCGGAAAGTTTGTTATCAACCGACCCTCATTGTCAATTTCTAGATGTAAGTTAAGATATGAAGCAGACTTAACTGTATCTGTTGTTTCCTTTATTTCAAGTTCGATGAGATAGATGTGTTCAACATAGTCACCAAACTTTGAATTATCTAGTGAGAGGACATCATCTATGTAGCTGAACGTGAAGTTAACGGATAAAGCTAGCTTCTTTTCATTTTTCATAAGAAGCTCCTTTATGAAGTCAGTTTCATATGAATAAAGAAACAAGTCGGCAATAAGAGGAGAACATGCAGTAGGTTCCCATGGGAATGCCGATTGTTTGTTGAAAAACACGTCCTCCAAATGTACAAAGTACGATTTTTCCCTCCCTAAGACAACATACTTGTATCAACGTTGGCCATTCTTTTATATGAAACAAAGCATCACCAATTCTTTCAATTTGTCTTTTTGTTTGGAATGGGGAATATTTGTGTAAAGGATAGAAAAGTCAAAAGACTTAGATTGTATGTACTCTAACAGATCTTTGGATTTTTTAAGAATCAACATCTGATTGACGCCGTACCTCGAGTAGATAGTTTCATAATAACTTTGAAAAAAATGTATAACAAAAATACCGAACTCCAGGTCAAATTTTAAAAGGGGAAGTCCATAAAAACTGAAAAAAAATCAAACGCTTTCAATCAAAGGAACAAGTGAAAAACAACTGCCATATTCCTGACTTGGTACAAGTATTTTCCGAAGAAAATGGTGGGTTGTGAAGCCCGGCTTTGATTGGCAAAATCATTGCTAGCATTCACTACAAACCAGTAAAGTCTGAAATGGCCTATATCTGTACTCGACTGTACTGATTTTTACTCGACCAGTCTGAATTGGTCTGAATTTTACTCGACATTACTCGACCCCAGTCTTAACCATACTCGACCGTACTGATTTGTACTTGACCCTTATCTTTGCCATTGAAAATAGTCTGAACTATTACTCGACCAGTCTGAAACAGTCTTAACCCATTCTCGACCAATTTTTTCAGTCTAAACCATACTCGACCAAAGGTCTGAACAATACTCGACCAGTCTGAACCATACTTGACCAAAAAACCTATATTTTTTTTAAATTTTAGCTGTTAAAATTAATTTCTTTTTTTCTGACATGAAAACAGCCACAATAAAATAAAGATATATATAAAAATATATTTTTACATCCTTACATGATTCTCAGATTTATCAAATAGAGATAGTTAATTTAAATTATCTTATATAATAATTTAATTATATTAATTTTAAAGTTTTAGAGTTTTGTTAAAAAAAAATTTTCTTTTATCTAAAAACCACACCTTTACTGTGGGTAATAAAACCTTATTAAGGTGCTTCTTGTTTGGCATGTGTGTTTTGGTTTTTTTTAAACTTAATTTTCCTAAATTCCTAAAGAAAACCTATATAGGTTTCATGGTTATATACAATAGTTATATAATTATCTTTTTAATGAGGTAACAACAGCCAAAAAATCACTGAAATTGTTTAACCTTATATTAGAAATATATCTATTCTTATTATAATTTGGGATATATTATATATAATATATATCAAAAGGGGATGAAAAAATTAAAGAAATAGATAAAAAATGTCTTCTGATTAGTGGTAAAGTATAAAGTAATACCTCCTGCTTGGGGCAAACTCATTAAAAGATCACACCTGGTCAGAGAGTATTAATTTCTAATTAACATTCATTAAAAATTGCAACATCCTGTAAAACTTAAATCGCAAGGCCTTTTTAATTCACTAGATAAGTAATACACGAGTTTAAGAAAAAAAATAGCTTTCTTTTTACCTGTAAAACACACATGTACTGAGATAAATAAACCTTATTAAAGTGCTTCTTGTATGTCATGTCTTTAATTTTGACAAAAGTTATTTAAATTTAATTGAAATAAATTTTTTCTACAACTTTGGAACACATTTCCTTTTTTAAATGGTTATCAAGGATTGCTATGGAAGTTCTATTATCATGATTATCTTAAATTCTTGGTTTTACAAAACAAAGGTGTTATTTTTAAAATTTATTAAGTTGCTTTATATACTATTTTAAATATATTTTGATAAAAAAAATGTTCACTGCATTATTAACTAAACTCAACTGACACCATAAATCTATACAAGGCTTAAGTAAATGGTGAAAATTGTCCAGTAACCATAAAATATATCTGAAACATTAAAAAAAATTTGAATAACATTGAAAATATTAGTCACAATTCAGTTTTGAGATTATTTGATCAGTTTGTTTTATTTTTATTTTAAAGGTGATATATATATGTAAGTGTTGATAAATATGGTGTTGAATTTATATTATGTTTATTGTGAAATTTTGGTTTCAATATGCCATATTGAATACATTTTAAATTTCAAATTGTTGTTCAAATTTCTAGCCAGGGGAAATAGCTGTTAAAAACAGTTCCTAAATTGATGAAATACAATAGATAGATACAAAAATTAGGTCTAGGTTGGTGAAGACTTAGTCGAGTATGGTTCAGACTAGGTCGAGTATGGTTCAGACTAGGTCGAGTATGGTTCAGACTAGGTCGAGCATGGTTCAGACGAAAATAAAATGGTTAAGTACTGGTCGAGTACAAGTTCAGACTGTTAAGTATGGTTCAGACTACAGTCGAGTATTATCAAGTAAATTTCAGACCAATTCAGACTGGTCGAGTAAAAATCAGTACAGTCGAGTACAAATATAGGCCATTTCAGACTTTTACTGGTTTGTAGTGATTGCATGCAGTAATCCCCTATCGATAAATTACATAACTGTCAAATAGAGTATACGGAGAATGGCTGTGTATTTTCCTTAAAATGCATTGACAACAAAAGGGTACATAATCCTTAAAAAATCATGACTTTATGCAGTGGAAATAAAATTAAGTATGGTCAGAATGTAGGACGACAGAATGAGAGGTCCTTGGTCTTTTCTCCTGTCCTATGGTTTTATTATCACAAGTGAACTTCAAATTAATGAAACAACATTGCTTAGCATACGGACTTTACACCGTAAAGTTCATAAATAAAACAAATTGATCAATTAATAATGTATATCCTAATGAATATCAAAAGATCAATATGTATCGGTGAATAAGTAAAGAGTGTCAAGATTGGTGTAAATAGTTAAATTATTGATGCATAGTCCAAATTGGTATTGATATGCCAACCGAAACTTTTCATGCATCCACAGTTTTTCCTTTCCTGGAAGGACAAATATTTTCGCACTTGTATCATTTCAATTTCAAAAAGAAGTTAAGAAGATATAATTGTTTCATTATACTGTTGAATTTACTCTGCATATATTAAATAACAATACATTGTTTTTAAAAAACAAAATGTATTCCTGTAAGTTTTTGCCAGGCATTTCTATCTTGTCTCGAGGCGAGAATAAATTAAATTTAAGTTTTAAGACAATGTATGCATGGTTGTTTCCTTCATACTGCAACTTTTAAAGTATTACAAATGATTCATTTTGGGGAAAATCAACCATTATAAATTTGAAGTGGACGACGTAAGCTGCATTCTTTGACGCCGTCATAGTTAAACTTCATTATCAACATCACAAACAAGGCTTTTATACGGTCAGTTATTGTATAAAGCCAAAAGCGTATGATGACAATGCATTTCAATGCCAAAATAGGACGGTGGCAGAAAGGAAATTATCTATTACAAGTTAAGGATGTTTGCTTTTCATTATTTAATTACGTATAATTTTGTAAAGCCATTTTTTTAATCTTATAAAAGCTTTGTTATTTTTTCAAAGTTTTTGAAAGAAAAAAGGTGTCAATGTTAAATGTATGGGAAATCTAGAGAGAATCGTTTCCCGCCATTTTTTCAATGTCTTATATCTAAAAAAAAAAAAAACAAGGCCGCTGACATTTAAATTTTTTCAGCTTTTTTAAGTTCTGTTATTTATATACTATCAACTTATAACAGTCTTTTAAAAAAACTTGTTATATTGAAACAGCGGGGCATTTTGTCTTCACTCATAATTAACCTACTAGGTGTTGATGTCGTAATCTCAGGTGTCGTTTCCGAAGCTGTTACTTCAGATGGTGATCCTGTAGTTATGTCTTTAATTGTACCTAGAAATACAGTCAACATATGTATTATCATTTTATTTTTATTTTCAATGTTGATTTTATAAAAGCATGCAGTATGCTTAAAATAAAATTGAGAATGGAAATGGGGAATTAACTGTTTAGATTTGCTTTAATTATGATAAAGTATTTCATGTGCAAGGGTACAAAAGTCGGCTTCAGAATCTAAGTTATATAAAATGTTAGATTTTGCAGCGTATACGATTTTTTTTATCATACCTTCATCAAGAACGCTATCTGCCGAGAAAATGGCAAGACGGATATTCTCATTCAAAATGCTTTTTCGCTGCTATTGTTCAATTATTTCCATTTTTAGGATATATTTACTAAAACTAAGATACAATCTCCTAAACAGAACATTTGACTTCAAGCAGTTGGGTCAAACCGCTTTTCATGGTCCCATTACTTGTGTAAGGATTTTTACACCATTGCAATCTCATTGTATTGGAACTTGTCCATTAAAGGGTTAGATATAACAGCAATCTGCATGTAATCTTCCATCCACTGCAATATCTCTGAATATGAATCTGAACTTCCCTAGAGTTTCATTTGGAAAATATATATATTCGTCAATTTACAGCAAAACATGTCTTCCATTATAAGAATGTGTAGCAGAGAAATTGACAAACTCTTTAAATACTATTAAAAGTTTCTCACCTTCGCAATGAAGACCAGGAAAGTCTTGCGGACATTCACATCTTTGTCCACTTTCATCAGCAAAACATGACCCGCCATTATAGCATGGGTACCCCGGGCATCCGCCTACACCTAAGCGATTATAAATGTATAAAAATAAAGTTTTATCAAAAATAAAACTTAAGCATATTAAGATACCAATAAGGATAAAACAGTAATCTTGGAACACTTCACCAATTGATTACGATGAGTGTAGAAGCTGTAATATGTTGATTTTAGTCATTTTTACTCTCTGGACTCGTTAGATGAGTTCTGAGATCAGAGCACACCTTTATAAATAAGATTCCTATGAAAAGAACAAGCCCTATCGTACCAATTAAGACTTTTAACTAACGAAACATCAGGTTTTAAAACATTACAGTAATAATTTCCAATGTATATTTTGAAGTATAATCTTGAAAAGTATATACAAATGTTTAGAGACCTTTTAGTAAAGTTTACTATCAAAATATCATAGTTTTAAAACAAAATACTATAGCGATAAAGACAAGAATATATTGAGCGATGGTAACATTCCTCGCTATGTTTTTAAATTTCTTCAAACCAAACAGTTATATCATCCAGAGGCATTATGTTGTCGTCCTCCATTTCTTCATTAAAGGAATATTGTGTTACATCAATAACTTGTCAAAACGCAGGTATACATTTTCAAAATTATGTCTATAAACAAGAGCTGATTGTCCTTTTGCAAATGATAATAACATACATGGCATATTCATATAGCGCCATTGTGTAATTTTATGAATATTCATGTAGCGCCATGTTATTAATTTATGCCGACAAATTTTCATTTTCAAGGCTATCAGGTATTATGGTAATATTGAAATTCAAAGGGCATAGTTCATCGATTATCAAAATAAGTAAATACTTTTTTATCCGTTGATGCTGAAAATTACCGAATTAATGCACTGAAAAGGTTAAGTTTCTAGTCAATATGTCTAACGTATTTCATTTTCTGGTAATTAAGTGGTTTAAAAATGTACTGCATGGTAGCATTGAAATATTGGAATATTATCATGTCAGACATATAATATTATAATTATGTTTGTAGTTTCAAGTGTAATTTTCATTGATGATAATATGTATATAGACGGCGATGTTCCTTTGGCTCCACCATACGGTGTTTATATATCCCAACTCGTTCGTTATGCCCGTGTGTGTAGTGATGTCATAGATTTTAACGAACGTTATCAATGCATCACTGGTAAATTATTAAGTCGTTACCATAAATAGCTTAAAACATTTTATAAATTCTTTCATAGATACAAAGATTTGATTAGTAAATTTGACTGTACCTGTAGAAAACTTATTAAAAATGGTATTTCATATCCTAAGTGTTACGGTAATCTTGTACTAAAAGCGCGGAAATCACTATGTGGTCCGTGTAAACTCATCGAACCTTTAAACAAACTTATTAGTAAAGGTTATCTTATTAATGTTGAAATAAGATCTTTGAATATTGTTTACATTGGCACTAACATCGATTTTGTCATCAACATATTAAAACATAACTAAATTTGTATTCTTTTCGAATGGTTTTTGGGATGTATACATACACATCCATGTTTATTTTCTATTTAGAGATTGCTTTATCTATATATAACATGATACATATTTATTATAAGGTTAAATCCTTACTATCCTACTGCCTGTCGATACTTTTATTTTGGCATTGCACAAGTCATGTATTCTTTGACTGTCCATGGCGTTAAAACACTAAATCCCTGGGATGTGTTTTAATTGATTTTAGTCTCTGATGCATAATTTTTTATTATTAATTGTTTTTGGCTTTTAACTAGCTTTCAGTAACTGCGAGTAATCTCAAATCGTACTTTCTTGTTAATTTGACTTGTTGACACAACTTGTAATTCATTTCTGTTATTCAATGTTTACTTATTTTGGGTTATATCTCGTCTCACTATTTTTTATATATACCACCTTTGATAAGTATTTAGTATGACGATAAATTTTCACTTCTGTACTCGTACTTTAAACAACAAATTTATTTATTTTGTAAAAAATGTTTCCGTACTCCTAACAACAAAATTATTTTAATTAAATCTACATGTGTACGTTATTTTATTTAACGCCATTTTGTCTCAGGTTAGAGACATTGGTTTACATCATTTTTAGTAATATTGTATCCTTATTGTGTCATAGATCAAACTTATTCGTTCATTGTATGTTTACTTGTTATTGTTTATATGTCTTTTTGATCGAGTTAAGCCATTTCAATTGATATTTTATAGTGGGTCTTTTTTTATGCTGTAATGTTCCACTACTGTTTCAGGTTACAGTGAAGGTTGGCGCCTGTTAAAACGTTTAAACCCGCTGCATTTGTATGCACCTGTCCTAAGTCAAGAGCCTGTTGTTCAGTGGTTGTCGTTTGTTGGTGTGGTTCATAAGTGTTTCTCGTTTCTCGTTTTTTATATAGATTAGACCGTTGGTTTTCCTGTTTGAATGGTTTTACACTAGTCATTTTGGGGCCCTTTATAGCTTGCTGTTCGTTGTGAGCCAAGGTTCCGTGTTGAAGGCCGTACTTTGACCTATAATGGTTTACTTTAATGAATTTTGACGTGGATGGAAAGTTGTCTCATTGGCACTCATACCACATCTTCTTATATTTATAGACCGTTGGTTTTCCTGTTTGAATTCTTTTACACTAGTCATTTTTAGGCCCTTTATAGCTTGCTGTTCGGTGTCAGCCAAGGCTCCGTGTTGAAGACCGTACTTTGACCTATAATTGTTTACTTTTTATTCATTGTGACTTGGATGGAGAGTTGTCGCATTGGCACTCATACCACATCTTCTTATTTATATATATCCTACCGAGCTCGCATCGGCTTCCAAAGATTTTATTAGGACATAAACACTCGTATGCATCTGGATTCTGGATGCATGTTCCTCCATTGAAGCAAGGGTAGCTTAAACAGTGGCTCCCAGTGGGTACTGTATCTAATAATAAAAAGCAATAAATTGATAACTATATTCTTTGATCTTCTCTATAAGTACTCCTTGTCGAGTTTCACTGTGGACAGAATTGTACTTACTACTAAAAATGAATCATAAAAAAGTAACCAACCTCTTGAAACATGAATATTTTGATTATTGAGAAGGGCTAACTTTATAGTGTGCAATCCGCAGTGAATTGCGTCTCCTCCACACTAAATGTTGGATTACATGTGTTTCAGTTGTAAGGCTATATGTTGGTCATAAAATTTGTCAACCTAAAAGAAATTCAACGTAATAGGCAGTGCACAACAAATTTTTTATCAGATCCAAATTTTCTATTCGCCTTTGAAATACGTAAACTTTCTGATTGTTAGAAAATGGTAAGTTTGTCAAAGAAGTATCTCATATAGTGTATGAAAACAGGTGTAATATCAGGTGCTAAGGAAGGGTAAGCCGATCCTGGCCCGTTCGTGCTACTTGTCATGTTCCCATAGCAAGTAAAAACTTTGTGATATTCTGTCGTTTTCTGTGTTGTTATAATGGAGGAAAAGAGGACGGGGTTGTGTCTACGATAATTGGAACATATTAATTTACAGTAAAGTATAACAATGTGAACGTGAAAATCAAGTATCAAACTAACCTGACAAGAGATCACAGTGTAAAGTATCGTTCACGGGTGCATAGTTTTGCATAACATAATTATACATATATGTGTGCCCTTGGTGGTCACATATAGATTTTGCTGTCTCCACAAAACAAGTAGTCCAGTTGGTTGCTAACCTACAATATAACAATCAAAGTGCGTGGCAGCACTGAATGGGAAAAGATTGGATTTATTTTGCATTGGAAACTAAAAATTAAAAATTGTAATGTATCAAGCATTGACAGGCATAACTATGAGTTGAGATATATTTGTCGTTGTTTCAACTACAATTATGCATAAAAGAAGATAAAAATATGACTTTAACAATGACATCATTGCTGTTTTTAGGCAGATACCAGATTCATGCACCATACACAATTTATGTAACTGCTTAATAAGTATGGTTAAAGACATACATGTCATTTTGAACTTAAATATCTGAGTATATATTCCATTGATAATTTTCTTGAAATTTTCATAGGTAGGATGTAAAGAATGTTTTACTCAATGCACTATGTTTTGTGAACATCAAAAACACTTTTCGTGTTGATACAGCAATGTTTTGTGTATTACATGTACAAAAGAGGGACGAAAGATACCAGAGGGACATTCAAACTCACAGATCGAAAACAAACTGACAATGCCATGGCCAAAAACAAAAAGACAAACAGACAAATAATAGTACAGATGACACAACATAGAAAATTAAAGTCTAAGCAACACGAACCCCACCAAAAACTGGGGGTGATCTCAGGTTCGTTTTGTTTTGAGTGCTCTCAAAGAAGGTTCTTTCAGAAGCACGTGTTGTGCATACCAAAATTATTACCAAATATTTAACGATTAAAAACACCTGCATTCAAGACAGTATCATAATTATTACCAAATATTTAACGATTACAAACACCTGCATTCAAGACAGTATCATAATTAGTACCAAATGTTTAACGATTACAAACACCTGCATTCCAGACAGTATCAAAATTAGCACCGTATGGTTATCGATAACACACACTTGCATTCCAGACAAACTAAAACTATATTTGAAATCAATCATCTAGAATGTGTCATGAAATCAACTTGTATATATTATTGAAAAATCAAGGTATACAATTCCATATGTTGGAGGGATGGAGAGTATGAAAACAGTTTTAAAAAACCTCCAATGACTTGACATAACATGAGTAAGACCAAGGTCTAACGCGTTTCATGTTAGTCGTAGTGGTTACTATAATGAAACATGGTCTAACGCGTTTCATGTAAGTCGTAGTGGTTACTATAATGAAACAAGGTATAACGCGTTTCATGTAAGTCGTAGTAGTTACTATAATGAAACTAGGTCTGACGCGTTTCATGTAAGTCGTAGTGGTTACTATAATGAAACAAAGTCTAACGCGTTTCATGTAAGTCGTAGTGGTTACTATAATGAAACAAGGTCTAACGCGTTTCATGTAAGTCGTAGTGGATATTATAATGAAACAAGGTCTAACGCGTTTCATGTAAGTCGTAGTGGTTACTATAATGACACAATGTCTAACGCGTTTCATGTAAGTCGTAGTGGTTACTATAATGAAACATGGTCTAACGCGTTTGATGTAAGTCGGAGTGGTTATTGTAATGAAACATGGTCTAACGCGTTTCATGCAAGTTGTAGTTGTTTCTATAATCAAACATGTTTGAAAGTAATCATAATGTGAATTCATTTATGGCATTATACTAATTGCAGTTAATGTTCAAAGTCAGATGTGTTTACACATTTGCAATAAATTGTACCTGCAGAATTCTTTCGTTTCACTGAAGACGTCTTTCACTCCAATAAAATAGTTTCCAAGTTCTGCACGTATACCATTCAAACATTGTAAAAAAGTGTTTGCTGTTGTCAGTTTTTGTAAACATCCTACATTATCGAGGAATGCTATAAAAGAAAGTTAATATTCAGTTATAAAAATAGTGATATTTATTTAAACCTTTGCTGTGACGTCAACTTATTCATTTAACGGGGTTTCTTTTTCTAGAATCAAGGCTTCCTAAATCTATCGCTGAAATGGACTCAACAAATCTTATTTAATTGTTTCCTTCGCGTGCTTAATTTCACTAAGTTTGAAATGGCTAATATATTGATTTTTGTTCATTAATGGTATAAGTATATGTAAGAGAATGATAATCCCTTTCTTCATGATTAAGTACGAGCGTTAGCGAATACTTATCATGAAGTAAGGGATTATCGTTGTCTTACAAACTCAGAAAATTGTAAAGTGAGCAAGGCTCAAATGATCTCTTGATTGGTTGTATTCAAGAATTAGTTTCATTGTCAGTACAATGTTTATAATTAATGCATGACTTCCTTTTTCGACATTTCATTTATGGATTAGTTTTAGTGATGTAAGGACTTTCTTATAATTTGGGAAATATTACAAAAAATGCGTTATAGACATTAGGTGATACAACAGTACAAAGAAAAGGTAGGAATTGTATATGTTTCCTGATTGTGAATATGAATGTAAATCATGTAATTTTTTAGTGAGGAATTATCCTTTTTTTATTTACAATTTAAAACAATAAATATATTTGAGTTACAACTAAATTATATTTCTTAGCTAATATTTTTGTGCGGCTGTTTACATCAATACTATTTCATTACTATGTCAGGTAAATGTTCAAATAAAATGCCTTTAAAAGTTTTTAATGTGTTTAAAACTTATATTCAATTCCTGTTTTTTTTTTTTTTTATTTCATTTTATTGGAATATTGGAAATAACTATTTTTCCCAACCGCTGATCCAGTAATCAAGTTTTGGAAAGCTATAAAGATTTAGCTTATTTTTTATTTTAAAACTTGTTTTTCTTTTTTTTGCATTGCTTTCATATTGTTTAATTTTTTAGTAATTTGAAGTTATTAATATTTTCATAATAACATTCATGGTACCAATTTAACTGCATCAGTAAACTTCAACTTGTTTGGATTTTTTTGTTTGTTTCACAATTCAACTTTTAGTCAGTTTCAATCACTGTGTGATAAATTCATTCAATCTGATAAATGTGCTTCGGGGCAGTTGTAACTCATTTATAGAAACCCTTTGTTTTGAACTGTTAATAGACTCAAATAATAGGATAATACCTTACTAAGATTATGATTTACATTCATTCTTCACATTTAAGAGACATCAAATCCTACAATTTCATTGGTCGAGAGCACTTTGCTATATTTTAAATTTTAAAACTTACTTACCATTAATCTTTGTCATTTTTATTTGCCTTGACTGGGAATCCTTCCGTGAAGTCTATCATGTATGACTGATATCAAACACATCTACGAAACCCCTTGGCTACTATTGAGTTTTAATTTTGTGATGTCTATTTTCTATATATATATATATAACTTACTACGAGTTATCCGATGGAGAATGTGTGTAATAAAGTTGTCGCATGTTTAGACTGTATTTAAGGAATGACTGTAACATTTTTTCTGTCTATGAAGAAATAAAATAAAAAATGTGGTGCACACTGAATTACCCGCGTAGCAGGCTATTTAAAAGTGTGCGCCACATTTTTGAGGTTATTTCGAATAGACAGAAAAAATGTTATAGTTATGCCGTAAATCATGAAAAAAACGTTGATGACGTCACGGTCACATGACAAAAAAATGTCTATGAGCTGATAGACAAAACACTTTCTGCCAATCAGAAGACGTGTTACATCCAAAATTAAATGATATATATATTGTCGTTAATGTTAGAATCCCTGTTTTCTCTTTGTTGTCCATTTTCTTTGGTTTTTACGTTTTTCTTATTTTGTGTGTAGTTGTTGATAATATTGCAATAACGTTTTTCCCGTTTATATTTGTTTTATTTTTGGTTATTTTATGTTTTTTCAAAGAAAATGATACATTCATTTATTTTTATATTAATATATGATGATTTAGTTTGGCCCAGTTTTGTCGAAATCAACTTAAAAAAACATCGCTGATGTATTATTGACTTGCAAGTGAATAATTTGACCTCATGTGAAACCGTATTCGTGTGAACTTCAATCTAACTCCTTAGCTGGAGATGGGTAACGCATGTACTAGGCGTGCTCAGCCATTAGAAGGAAAAGAATGTCAACATTGAAAGTGAAATAAGGGTGAACCATTTCGTGGACTGATTCTATCCACACATAAAAATCTTTCTTATAAAGGTAAAAACGATGCATAACTTATCTTTTTAATCTATACCATGAAATCAAACAAACCGTAAAAATATCCAATTGCACGTGATCGCTATCTATTTATATTTAAATTTGTGTTTATATCGGGTTATATAACCGTCGACAGTTTCGGAATTCATCTCGATTGTTAATTAGATTGCGTCTAGACTAAAATACACACGAAATGACGATATATATTATCGAGTCCATGCATTGCTAATTGTTTATTTTAAACTTATTGTAATTTGGATATATGTTTACGTATTTTACAAGTCAAATATTACAATTTGAGTCAAATCAGTGAACTTGAATTTGACAGCTAATGTTCCTTTAATGTTTTTGAAATAATTGAACCAATGCATGCATATATACTAAGCTAAGTCATGTATGAACGTTTTTTTTTATTTATTACGAATCTATAATGTATTACCGACAAATAATATTTCATTCAGTGATTGTTGATTGCAAGCTAATCAACTTTCGAGGTTTGTTGTAGAAGTTTACTAGATCGTGACATTAATAAACAATCAACACAGAGCATGTGGAGCACGTGGCAAATAAGTAAATTGATATAGCCATAATATTTTTGTTTTATATTTGCCATGCGTTCCCATTTGTTAATTAAACCGTTGCTCATTACTATTTACCTTCCAATGCACGTTTGTTTACATTCTTTCTTCGAGATCTCGTAGTTAAGCCCACGGTAACGGCAAATAATCGGCGAATTTGTGTACGGGAAGACAATAATTCAATAGCAGTACATTTATGGAGATTTTGATAATTTTAAGGATTTTCTTTCACAAAAAAGTTCATGAACACTTGTTTTATAGTAAAATTTAGCCATTCAAGTATATAAAACATATTCAACTTTTTTTCAAATTTGAAGTTTCATATGATTTTAAATTTGCATATTGACAAATCACTGTGAGATCAAATTGTGATGTTGCTAGAATTTGGGTTATTTTCATGAAAGTCGGTAACATATGTATTAAATATACTTAGAAATTAGTTCGAATATGCATTATTTTGTAAATTACATATAATAATCAGATTAGTTATAGTTCAATGGAAATTTCAGTACAGTATACTGAAAGTGCATGCGATTTTGTTTTTTAAATTTAAATCCACTACCTGTTAATTCTAATTTCTTGTTAGTCATTCAAGATAATTATGTAGTAATTTGAACCCTCTAATAATAGGGCCTAATTAATGATAGTTTGTAATATTGAAAAGACGTCTCAGCAATAGTTTAAATAATAAACACAATAGATAAGCGTTGGATCATTAAAAGGATTCTACACTATTAAACTTTGTATATAGATATGAAAATAAAGCGATGTCGTATGATTGCCAATGAAACAAGTATCCATCAAAGTTCAAATGAAGTGGATGTAAGCAATTATAGGCAACCGTGCGGTCTTCAACAATGAGAAAACCCATACCGTATAGTCGGCTAGAAGAGGCCCCGACATGTAAAATATGAAACTATTCAATTGAGAAAACTAACGGCCTAATTTATAACAAAACAATTACGAAAAACAAATATGATAGACATGAACCAACGACAACCACTGAACTACAGGCTCCTGACTTGGGACAGGCAGATAAAGAATGTGGCGGGTTTAAACATGTTTGTAAGCGCTCAATCCTCCCCCTAACCTGTGACAGTGGTGTTACAGCACAAGATAAGAACAAACGATAGAAATCAGTTGAAAATGGCTTAACTCATCAGACCGATACAAAGCAGAAAAACATCTAACAAAAACACAGACCGGATGTTACAGGGTATTTATACATCCCTAACAACAAAAAAGAGTCAGTAGAGATAACGTCGTAAGTTTACAGATATGCAATACTTCCACAAAAAGTATTGAACATTTTGCTATATATATATATATCTGACGATCAATTTTAATTGCCTCTAGCCGATTATTATATTACCTCTTCTGTCTGTATTACATATAAATCTGGCTCCAGAAAACATGACATCTCGCTTCAAACGGGCACCTCTCGAACAGGATTCTAACTTTGTTTTCGTGCAAATATATATATCTTCAAGAGATCTGTGAAAATTTTATTCGACAAAAATTTTTGAAAATGAATATATTTGATTTATGGGAATATCAATATTGAAGATGAATGAAATAATTGATAATATGGATGATAACCTGTATTCCTCTTAGTTTCTGTTTTTCTTCGCTTGACAACATCACATTTCTAAATCGACAAAACCAGTTTTGCAGTAAAAAGTCAAAAAATGTTCGTACGAAACCCTTTACAATTTTGTAAGCATCTCTGAGGAAAACAGCTGAAATATTGTTTTGTTGTTTTAGTGGTAAATGTGAATCGCTATACAATTATACAAGTGGCAACATATACAGTTACTCTGCTCATATGAAAAGTAAATAATATTGCTAAAAGAACATGCAAACAATGTCTATAATTTCTCAATAATCATCAAGGTATAAAGAAAATAAGCGATGCTATTCACATGTAAAGTGAAAATGTATATCTAACCATCCGTCACTGTATCTGATGACGTTATTCCGGAAACGCGTGTTGTGTGCAAGATAATCAGCATATTGTAACTAACTTTTATTTAAAGAAAATTATTCTTCTTTATTTACAGCGAATAAAATCCAATATCTGTGGTTATATCTACTGACCTGCATATTTGATCAATCTTAGCTGAATCATTGAAACTCGGTATTATGAACAGTGACAATAAATTTGGATCTGCATTAGGTAAGCATTGAATAATGCCTGTGTAATCACAAAGGTTTTGGCCCTCAGAAACAATTGACGATTCAGTAGAACTGAAAGGATTATTGGTTATCGGGTTTGTGATGGCCACTGAAAGTAAAAGCTAATATGTTTAAATTCACGATTACATACATCAGTTTCTTTTTTCATGTAACATCATACATATTTCTCTCCTTATGTTTCTTTAATACAATTTATAGACCTTAAGCCCATCAAAAAAATCAAAGCAGTAAAGAAAAAGTCAGATATCAATAGTAATTACTATTTATTAAGACATATTTTAAAGTTCAATGATATGAAATTCTCCTCAAAATGAAAAGAACTTTCAACTGCATATCTCGACGAATGCAATAATATAATAATAATCATATATCTTAATAAAGTCAGACCCTTTTCAGTTCAAAATTAAAGACAAAAAAATCCATTACTACCACAAATCTCAAGTTTGAATCCAAATCTACAGTTGATACTGTTGAGTCATTCTATAATTCAAAACATTAACACATTGTGTCTACTGACCATTAAACATAAAGATGGAAGTGTGTAATACTGTCTAAAAGATGAAGGAAGTAAACTGGTTTGTCATTTGAAATATAACAACTATATGAATCTGAACAGTTAAAAAGTGCATTGAAAACAATAGGAATCGAATAAAATTCAAACAGAAAGAAAGTAGTTTATCGACTATGTAATAATCTTTAGTGGTGAATGCCGTCATCAAATTCCTATGCCATTTCAAGTAGCAATGGTCGAAGTAAAAAAACATGGGATATGAGATACGGATGCAATGAGTCGATCAACCAACTTGTGATGAACACCGTAAGATGTTAGTTTTATAAAAGCATACAGTCTGTTTAACTGTTTAGATTTGCTTTAATTGTGACAAATGTTACGATTTTGCTGCGTATACGATTTTTTTATATACCTTCATTAAGAACGCTATCTGCCGAGAGAATGGCAAGACGGATATTCTCATTCAAAATGTTATAGTAGAATATGCTTTTTCGCTGCTATCATTCAATTATTTCCATATTTAGGATTTATTTACTAAACCTAAAATACAATCTCTTAAACAGAACATTTTACTTCAAGCAGATGGGGCAGACTCCTTTCAGGGTCCCATTACTTGTTTAAGGATTTTTACACTATTGCAATCTCATTGTATTGGAACTTGTCTATTAAAGGGGTAGATATAACAGCAATCTGCATGTAATCTGAATATGAATCGGAACTTCCCAAGAGTGTCATTTGGAAAATATATATTCGTCAATTTACATGTATTTTATTATGAGAATGTGTAGCAGAGAAATTGTCAAACCCTTTAAATACTGTAAAAAGTTTCTCACCTTCGCAATGAAGACCAGAAAAGCCTAGCGGACATTCACATATTTGTCCACTTTCATCAGCAAAACATGACCCGCCTTTATAACATGGGTACCCCGGACATCCGTCTATACCTAAGCGATTATAAATGTATAAAAATGGAGTTTTATAAAAATAAAACTTAAGCATATTAAGATACCAAAAAGTATGAAACAGAAATATTGGAACACTTCACCAATTGATGATGATGAATGCAGAAGCTGTAATATGTTAATTAGTAACTTTTACACTAGACTCGTTAGTTGAGTTCTGAGATCAGAGCACACCTCTATTAATAAGATTCCTATGAAGAGAGAAAGCTCTATCGTACCAATTAAGACTTTTAACTAACGAGACATCAGGTTTTAAAACATTACAGTGATAATTTCAAATGTATATTTTGAAGTATAATCTTGAAAAGTTTAAACAAATGTTTAGAGACCTTTAAGTAAACATTACTATCAAAATATCATAGTTTTAAAACAAAATACTATAGCGATTAAGACAAGAATATAGTGAGCGATGGTTACATTCCTCGCAATATTTTCAATTTTTTCAAACAAAACAGTTACACCATCCAGAGGCATTTTGTTATTGTTCTCCATATCTTCTTTGAAAGAGTATTGCGTAAAAACAATAACTTGTCAAAAATCAGGTATACATTTTCAAAATAATGTCTATGAACTAGAGCTGATTGTCCTCTTGCAAAATGATATCAAGACACATGGCATATTCATATAGCACCATTGTGTAATTTAAGGAATATTCATGTAGCACCATGTTATTAATTTATGCCGACAAATTTTTATTTGTAAGACTATCAGTTATTATGGTAATATTGAAATGAAAAGGGCATAGTTCGTCGATTATCAAAATAAATTAATATGTGTAAGAGAAACATATAGAAAATTAAGTAAACCAATTGAATAGATTTGAAATTAAAAAAATGGACAAAACTGAGACTGAACCAATATTTTGTATCCGTTGATGCTGAAAATTACCGAAATAATGCACTGAAAAGGTGAAGTTTCTAGTCAATACCCTGTCTAACATATTTCATTTTCTGGTAATGAAGTGATTTAAAAATGTACTGCATGGTAGCATTGAAATATAGGAATATTATCAAGTCAGACATATATGTTTGAAGTTTCAAGTGTAATTTTCATTTGATGATAATATTATGTTTATATCCTACCGAACTCGCATCGGCTTCCATACGTTTTATTGAGACATAAACACTCGTATCCATCTGGATTCTGAATGCATGTCCCTCCATTGAAGCAAGGGTAGCTTAAGCAGTGACTTCCAGTGGGTACTGTATTTAATAATAGAAAGCAATAAACTGGTAATTATATTTTTTTATCTTCTCTATAAGTACTCCTTGTAATGACTGTAGGAAAAATATCACATGTAACCAAATTTAAGATCCATTTTATAAGTTATTAACGCAATTTAATTGTTGGACATACGTGTTATTTCAGAGGTTATGCGTCGTGTTGGTTCTGGTTCAGGTTGCAGATGTGTTGGTTCAGGTTGGGAAGTTGGTTCAGGTTGCAGATCTGTTGGTTTATGTTGGAAAGTTGGTTCAGGTTCTGGTCCTATTGTCGCTATAAAATTTGAAATTGAAAAAATGCAAATCAATCTTTTTCTTTGTACGCGTACATGTTGTCTTAACAACTTAGCTTCATATAAATCTAATCTCAAATATTTGGCAGGTTCCTTCAACATTCAAGTGTAATATAAACGTATGGTATCAAATTCAGTTCGCACAAAAGAGTGGCGGAAGGACCTTTTTCGGGACGTCGGGATTTTATTTTTTCAGGGAATTAGGGATGACACCCTTCCTATCCCCCACCACCCCCATTCGACTCCTCCCCCCCCCCCTCCCCCCCTCACAAACATACTTCTGAAATATCATTTATCAGATACACTAGACACCTAAAGTATGGGAAGCCAAATACACAAAATATTTGATATCATCCAATCGTAGAAGGATCTAAAAACAAAACAACACTAAAACCTTTTAAGGTCATCTTTACATGAAGGAGTTGCTTCATAACATTAGAATTAGTACCATATTGTTTCATTAAACTCATGCTGTACCGAAACAAAAGCTTTTTGCCCCTATTTTGTGTTTGCGGGTGTGGGTGTTTGTATGTGGTATTTTTTTTTTTGTTGTTTCTGTTTCGTTGGTTTGCTACGTCCAACATGCTTGTGATTTGATTTGGGATTTTTGATTTTAGGTACAATCAACGGGGTTAGTCTTACAATTGGTATAATATATATATATTATTGTGCAAAGAAAAAAAATTCGATACTTACGAATAACAGAAACTTCTACTGATTTTTCCGCTAAAACCTGGTCATTTTGAGAGTGAATCGCACAACTGAAAAATCCATCATGCTCTTCCTTTATCCCTAAAAAAGCAAAGTTGTGTTTACTATGTACGGTATTGGTTTTGCTCATTGATCAAGGATAGATTTTATTTTGTATGTGTCCCTTTATGGCTTCCGTACAAGTATATATTTTATGAACTTATAGAATAAACGTAAAATTGACATCTTGCAGTATCAAGTATATGTGAAGTCATTTTTAAAAAATGTGCTTTGTCATTTATTATACGTAGGTTTGAATACTATTTTGTTTTAATGGCTTTTTTTTAATAAAGAAAATATGTACTTATATATATCCAGACTTTTAAAAAATCAACAACCATTTACCTTTATGGAGCATCCAAGTTCACCACCGTTTTTTCGTGTGTTTTCGTGTGGTTTTTTTTTTCTTCGTAGTTGTTTTTTGTGTGATTCCTTTTCTCAATTTACTGTCCTGTATAATATTTTGTAGACTAGTTTCTTTTTTAATTGTCTTGAATGTTTTGGTCATAATGTCGCCTATCTTCGACTTCCGATTTTCATTGCCTTTACATTTTCATACGTTTTAAAGGGTTATAAAGGTACATACCTTGAAGAAATTGAAGTGTAAATATAAGGCCTGTTGCATTAGTATCTATTTCAATATCATACTCTTGCTCAAACCGAGTCTCAACATTTGCAAACGTTGATATTTTTAGCTTTGAACCATCCCTGTCTATTTTTTGCCACGTTAAGGGATTCATTATTAGGAAACTTGCGCTCTCCTCGGTGTAACATTGTAAATCTGGTTTATCCCCTATCTGTACATTAATATGCTCTGTATTGAGCATCAGATGAATTTCAGCATTTGCCACTGAAAACAAAAATGAAATATGTTCTGTTTAAAAAGTAACATAACAAAAATACCAAACTCCAAGGAAAATTCAAAACGGAAAGTCCCTTATCAAATGGCAAAATCAAAAGCTCAAACACATCAAACGAATGGAAAACATCTGTCATATTCCTGACTTGGTAGAGGCATTTCCTTATGTAGAAAATGGTGGATTAAACCTGGTGTTATAGCTAGCTAAACCCCTCACTTGTATGACACTCGCATAAAATTCCAATATATTGACAACAATGTGTGAACGAAAAAAACAGACATAATAAGAAAAAATGTCAAAAATAGGGGTACAGCAGTCAATATTGTACGGAAGCTTATTAGGGCCTTTTTTATTTATTCTTTTTCAAATTGTCGACTTTAATCTTGGAATTATCAACTTTAATCTTGGAATATTCAGCTTTAATCTTGGAATTATCAACTTTAATCTTGGAATTTCCAACTTTAATCTTGGAATTATTAACTTTAATCTTGGAATTATCAACTTTAATCTTGGAATTTCCAACTTTAATCTTGAAATTATCAGCTTTAATCTTGGAAATGACTGATATTTTACTTCTAGCCCATAGTTTATTGTATTTCTCCGAATACTTAATCCACTTATAATTCTTTTCGCGGCGAATTTTTTTGTAAAGTGTTAAAGAAAAATAGACGTGTATCTACAATCTTGTATAGCTTAATATCCATGAAAAGGGGGTGTAACTTCCTATTAATGGGTATACGTGGATGTGCCAAAAATAATTTTGCGAGTATTTATATATATATTTGACACTACTTTTTAATGAATTTCTATATTGATATGCATTGTTCTCTCATAACTTATATATTGATTTAGGTACCAAATATTAGTGAATGTTATATAAAAATGGGTACATTCTTTTAGGCAAAAATGGCACACCCTACCCCCCCCCCCCCCTTTCCCCCCGGTGGTTATGTCAAAATTAAAATATCCATTTGTAATTATATATACAGTACATGCATCTATTATATTATATTGCTGAATAGGCGGATGTGAATCGATGTTTACAATAGCAATCACCAATAAAAAGTAAAGTAATGCACATCAAACTGAAGTGTACTGTTTGGTCGAGGAGAGAGTCCAGTGAGCCAAAAGTCACGATGTTCTCAATGCAGAGATTCACTCCATTAATGAAAGTCGGAAAAATCAGTGTCAGACTAATGAGGGTCTGAAGATTAAAGTTGGAATTTCCAAGTTAAATGTTGATAATTCCAAGATTAAAGTTGGAAATTCCAAGATTACAGTTGGAAATTCCAAGATTAATGTTGATAATTCCAAGATTAAAGTTGATAATTCCAAGATTAATTTTTGATAGTTCCAAAATTAAAGTTGGAAATTCCAAGATTAAAGTTAATAATTCCAAGATTAATGTTGATAATTCCAAGATTAAAGTTGATAATTCCAAGATTAAAGTTGGAAGTTCCTAGATTAAAGTTGATGATTCCAAGATTAAAGTCGACAATTTGAAAAAATAAATAAAAAAGGATGGCCCTAATACGCTTCCGTAACTTTGTGTTATAATCTTAATCACTATAAAAACAAACAAATATGTCAACAAAAAAAAACAAAATGACATATAATAGACAAAGCACATAAACAAAAATGAAAGACAAGAATGCATAAAAAGACCATAGCACAATAACACAATGGCGGGATGTATAAGTACTGAGCCACGCCAAAAGGACATTACAAAAAATGGACTAAAAAGTAAAGGTTAATAATTTACAAAGACAAATAAAAGAACACTATAACACGTAATTAAGATGATAAACATCGTCAGTACCTAGAATCTATACTTCAAGACCATCATGTATTATTTGTGAAGTTGATACGGAATATTTATCAACAAGGTCTTGGTATCTTCCGATGATTTTTTATAGAAAAAAGAAGAGACGTTCTTTGACATAACCATGGTTCATCAACTTTCTGCTCAGACACTGGTGACGTTTTATAAAGTCTGAGTAGCCTGGTAGTATTTATTTGGTCGTTTGAATATCAACCTAAACAGCATTAATGATGCCAAAATATTTTAGAATTCTTAAACTTAGACAAATATTGACGAGCTGAAATACAAAGTTACATGAAATCAAATAAACTTTGAAAACATTTTTAAAATTTAATTCTCTTTTGTGGTGGTAAAATAATTTCTGAATTTACAGTAACTGTAGAATTTAACAAACTTGAACTTGTTCGGATACAGTGAAAGGTATGCATGAAGTAGACGAACTTTAGTTTCAGATTGAATTTCTTCGTTTAATATTGTATTAACATTAAACGGTTCAAATTTTACTGCAACAGATGCGCATTTCGACAAACGATGTTATCTCTTCTGTGATACTTACTTGAGGTCAAAATAATTGAAAACCCAAATCCTTGTTTAAACGTTTATGAGCTGATATAACCGAAAAGGACCAAAAGTATAAACCCGGATGGGAAATCAGAGCTACGCGTGAGGGAGATACATTCCTTAATTCTAATTGACTTCCTAAGTTGTATCACTGGAAATTTCGTTAAACAATATCCATATCTTCATGCTAGTACCGAACTACTAAGATACTGGGCTGGTGATGCAAATGTCTGTATTTTCCTGTTATAATTCAAAGTACAGAGCTAATTGGATGATAATACATTCAATGACTATCAGTTTCTGTCAAATTTAAATAAACATGTGTCAATCAAAAGCCATCCATGCGATTAATTTCCATATCCTCTTTTTAACTTCATTTCGGAGTTACTTAACGTCTTTTGCCAGAACTGTTAACACAGACTACAAACCTTTGTAACGAGTATATTATTTTTTATTCGTAGCATACATAAAAAAAAGAAAGATAAAAAATAATCAACAAAATGCTGTCACTTACCTGAAAACGAAAGCAGATAGTAGAGTAAAGCTCTCATTTTTAGTAAATAATTTTATTAGACAAACATTTTATATTTATATTACTATCAAGGACCGTTCCTGGACACTTCCGGGCCCTTCCTGCATTTGTTTACAAATGAAAAACTTTACATACAAGTCACATCCGTCAACCACAAATTTCATGTTATAAACATGTTACAAACATGTAACAAATAAATTTTGTGTAGCTACAATGAATGGAAAATTCATTGATTGAAAAGCTCTTTTTCTCTTATGGGGAGAGAAAATCAAATAATAAGAGTTTTTATGTGCATTTTAGGAATACGTTTTTCTCTAACGTTCTTTGAAAAACTGCATTATATATCCCTCTTAATTTGGCATGACGTTGTCACAATACAATGACGTAGGTAACTGTAGAAAAACGGGTATAAATAATACTTACAATTTTTGTAAATATAAAATGAATAATGTCAATCATTATATGAAAGGTATCACATGTTGCGAATAACTGGACTTCATTCGTCGTTATTACGAAGAACCATCTGAAACCAAATAATAAATGGTCGGTTTTGCAATATTTTGATTACACAAATGATCATTAGCTTTGAATTTATTGATAGGAAACGGGCATCTCTATCCCTATATTTTCTTACCAAATTATCGCTTTGTGGTACAAACATTTACCGTCTTACTATTTGTAATGAAATTAACAGTTAAAATTAAAACAGCCAAGGAAAACAAATAATCGCATTAAATTTCACTATTTTATCATTTTACTACCCGTTTCGCGAGTAGATATCAAATCATTCTGTATTCTTGTTCAATACTAATACTTGGTGTTCCACTTGTTGACACTTTATTTGATTAGTAAGTTATTTTGTGTAAAAGTGACACCTAACATCCACGCATTCCAACATCCATTCGAATTCCGATAGCAAAAAAATCTTATTCGGAAGACTTCGTATACGTACTATTAGTATTTTATGGTAATTATATTACAAAATAATGATCTAATGATGCTAGAATTACTAGACTTGCAATTGCTTACATCAATCCGACACTAATTTAGTGTTTCGGTGGTTTTTGTATTATATGCTAATATGATAAATGTATTACATTTATAAAAGGGTTTAACCATTGTAGGCCCGCCATCATCAGGGATTACCTATCAATTTATTTTATTTTGTCGATGTCAATATTTCGGCTATATGTTTATGCTTTTTATAAGCTATTATTGGTTTGCTTGAAAATATTTCTTTGCAAACCGCATCCTGTTTTAGTAAATCCCAATGTTTACTAATGCATTGCTTTAATTTGTGAATACATGGATTGAATTTCGTTGCCAATACTAAAGGAAGTTTGAACATAGAAAAAATATCTTGTTCTATGGAAGGTTTCGTGATGATATTATATTAATATAATTAAATCTTATGGGTTTATGGGACATGAAAGAAATAAAGGATTTGTTAGAGTTAGCAAATAATCATCATCCTTTCCTAAAATTCACACTAGAATTTTCATCTAAAGAAATAATATTTCTTGATGTTAATATTTTTAAAGGAACTAGGTTTTCTAATGAAAACATCTTGGATGTGAAAACACATTTTAAACCAACAAATTCTTTCCTTTATCTACATCGTAAAAGCTGTCACAGTCGACCATGTTAAGGCGAAGTTACCAGATACATTAGAACAACAACTCAGGATACAAGGAGATTGAAATCGAACAGTACGTAAATGAGGCATTATCATGTGATAGATCTCATTTAATCAGAAAAAAGACAAAAAACACACAAAGGAAATTCCTTTAGAGTTGGCAACGAAATTCAATCCATGCATTCACAAATTAAAACAATGCATTAGTAAACATTGGGATCTACTAAAACAGGATGCGGTTTGCAAAGAAATATTTTCAAGCAAACCAATAATAGCTTATAAAAAGCATAAAAATATAGCTGATCTATTGACATCGACAAAATAAAATAAATTGATAGGTAAATCCCTGATGATGGCGAGCCTACAATGCTTAAACCCATTCATAAAAGGAATACATTTATCATTAGCATATAATACAAAAACCACCGAAACACTAAATTAGTGTCGGATAGATGTAAATAAACTCATCATAGATACCAGGATTGAAATTTTGTATTTACGCCAGACGCGCGTTTTGTCTACAAAATACTCATCAGTGACGCTCAAATCCAAAAAAAGTTAAAAAGGCCAAATAAATTACGAAGTTGAAGAGCACTGAGGACCAAAAATTCCTAAAAGTTTTGCCAAATAAGCATTGCAAGTCTAGAAATACTAGCATCATTAAATCATTATATTTTGTAATATAATTATAATAAAATACTAATATTATGTACACGGAGTCTTCCGATTAAGATTTTTTTGCTATCGGCATTCGGATGGATGTTGGAATGCGTGGATGTGTCACTTTTACATAAAGTGTCTAGTGAAGGAATTTGTTTTCCTTGCACATGTATCTAAAGATTTCATTTTGGCATTACGATGCTCTATCAAATAAGAAGATGTATAATTATCAATGAGATAAATATCCAAAAGAGTCCAAATGAAGCTATTTTCAGCTACGTCAGGTCACCGTTCAGCCTTTAAAAATGAGGAAAACTCATACCGTATAGTCAACTATAAAAGGCCTTGTAAACATGACGAACAATTCAAGCGAGAAAAAACAACAGTCAGATTTATAACAAACTAATAACCGAAAACAAATATAAGAGAGTAACCAACGGCAAGCACTGAATTACAGACTTCTGACTAATAAATAACAATAGCCCAAGACTAAAGTATCAATCAGTACAGATCCAACACGTTTCGTGTAAAGACATCACAAACAGTCAAAGGCGTGACGTTGTGCAGTGTTCAAGTATAAGTAATTTCAGTGGCGTTAATATATTTGCTGATAATTTTTGCTGTTTACAATTTTTCTTTATCAACTATACTTTTTGGCCGAATATGCAAAAAAGAAATGGCAAAATCGCGAATAAAGGGCAATAACTCATATAAGGAGTCAACCGAAGATTTCTGCCTTCTTGACAAGTTCAAAGATCTTGTCCTGTTATAAATACTCAAAATACGTCAAAATTACAGTTTTGCGCTTTTTTTCAGGCGCTTGTATTTTGTTACATCTGTTTAGAAATAAGCTATAACATTGTTAGAAGCACAGAATTTTGCATGACAGAATTTTAGTATTTTCCCGGTAATATATGGGAGGGGTCTTATAAATCAAAACCCAAATTATGTTGTAAGTCGAGTTATGTGTTGTTTTATTGGATGCAATTTAATTCACTTTGGTTAGAGATGTCCTATTACGAAAAACTTTATAAAATCATGTAAATTTGCAATTTCATACCAAAATCCCTCCAACAGCTACATTTGCGCTGAAGTAACATTTTGATGTTATGTTAATTTCAAAAATGTGTATGTCTATGATATATAATCTTTAATATTCAAATCCCGGTAGAATTTGACAACTCTTAGATTTTTACCTTGTGAGTGAAACAAATACCGGAGAAATTTGCCCTACCTCTTTATTCATTTCATTTATTGTTTATATGACCTTTATTTGAGACAACAGTTGCGTAGCTTTCTTTCCTAAACAATTATTTGCTATTTATGCGTTATTGATATAACGGATATCACCGCGTACATGTATGGTTTTTATATATCCGGATCATGTAGTGCAATAAGACCATAAAAATTTACGACTGTTGTAATTTCGAAATTTCGTTGCGTTTTAAAACATTATTTATCGATCGTTCTTTTGCATTTATAAAGAATCGTATTTAGAAGTAAATGCTTTATTTCGTCTTTCAGTTCTGCATGAAAGTTCGGATTTTTTATTCGACCTGCCACGTATGGCCAGTGTTAACTGAAATAATGTGTACATTCTGAAACGTATCCTATATCGTAAAATGTTTTAGCATAATTTTGTCTGGGTTTTCAAAGTGTCTAGTCATTTATTATATATATATATTTTGTTTGTATTGAAAATATAAACAAACATCTAACATACAGACTTCCATTTATTTCATTTGGTTAGCTATATCTTTTTTACAACATTTACACCCACATTTAGCAACATGCATACTTGTGCTGCGACAAACATATGCAGTTTTCGGGAGAGAAAAGAATCGGGATGAGGGTCTATATAATACATTGTGATGAAAACTTATCTATCATTTTATGATTCCATTTCATATTCTAGTTACTATATCCATTATGTACTGGGCTTTTATATACTCATCACGCCTTGCAAATAAACAATAAGAAGAAGAGTGTCCAGATTTATGCAAGTGACGTCATGTCCTGGTTTAATAAAGTGTAAGCCAGTGCTGCTACACCATAGTCAAAGATAAGTGGGGTGGTTGAGCGCTCACAAACATGGTTACCCTTCCACATCATGTATGTGCCTCTCCCAGTCATAAACCTGTAACTCAGTGGTTGTTGTTGGTTGCTGTCAGTCATATTTGTTTTTGTTTATTGTTTTGTCACAAAAAAGGCTGTTTTTTTTCTCGTTTGAGCTGTTTCACAGTTTGTCATCTTGGGGTATATATGTATGGGCTTTGTTCATTGTTGAAGGCCACGCGGTGTCTTTAAGTTGCTTAAATCCACGTTAGTTGGATAATTGTCTCCTTTTTTGTTGTTTAAAAGTTTATAATTGAGAGTTACAGATCAGGGACAGGGTTAGGCGGGGTATGGAGTGCGTATGTCCCTAAAACTGCCAAAATACGGGTTGCAAGTAATTTCCACCAATGATCCAGTTTGGGATTTATTCCGGGCGACCTTCTTTTATAAAATGACAAAATTGGACTTGAAAAAAATCATGTTATTGTAATTTCCAGGACTTCTTGATGTTAATTTTGGACTGTTACAGTTTTTATTGTTTTGCCAAATCATCTCAGTTTTAACTATACCATGCTCATGAACAAAATTTTACATTTATTACGTTCATTTTCTTTTCATATTTTCGTTCTAGACCATTCAACTATTACTCTATGCAGGTTTCTGTTAAATTAATTTATAACTTTCTGAACATTTTTTGTGGTCACTCTTTATTTACATCGCTTGGTTATTTTTGTCGTTGGATTGTGTC